CACTTTGACCTGATCCTTTTAGTTGCCATCAACTAGCTTCTGTTATAACTGACTGGATATGTGACCGCTGTGGTGAATTGGTGAGTTTCCTGATACAGGCTTTATTAGCCTGTTGCACAGAAGAGTGACAGGAAAGCAGAAGGAGAGAGAGGGGAAGACAGGCAGCAAAGGGTTCGGATTCGAACCTGGGCCAGCCGTCCTCAGCCATACGGCATATGGTCACCCGCTCATCACTGTGAGCTACACTGGCGGCCCCACAACCAACTTTTAAGTGTAGTTCAAAATTCTCAGAGTTGCGATCAGACTTTTGGAAAGACTATTCCTTAATGTTATCCAAAACTACTTTTGATGTGTGTTTGGGATCACTGTCCTGTTGAAACGCACAACTGTGTCTTAGTTTCAACCATCTAATTGATTTGATTTGAGATCAAGCTGACTAATTGGGAGATTGTCATCCTCCTTCATCCTTTGTGGAATGTACCAGTACCACTGGCAGCAAAACAGTCCCAGAGCAGGATGCTGCCATTACTAACGGCTTGACAGTTGGTGCAGTGTTCTTGGGTTTTCAAGCATCATATTAACTCCTACAAATATACCTCCTTTCATCGAGTCCAAACAGCTCAATCTTTGTCTCCTCTGACCATGAAACGCTTCTCCAGAAGGCATTTGGCTTGTTCATCTGGGCAGCTGCAAATTTCAGGTGAGCTTGAAGGTGTTGATTTTGGATTATGGGCTTCTTCCTTGGTCGTCTTAGTTCACGGAGATGCAAAACTGGCTTCACTGTGGACTGTGACACTGGTGGTCCAGCAGTTTCCAGCTCATGGCAGTGTTGTGCCACGACGGGTCCTGAGTTGTTCCAGAACATCCTAACAAATTTCCTTGCACCTGAGGGGAAAAGTTTAGGTTTTCCTCCAGACACATCTCCAACCTTACAACCTCGAAACTGCAGTTGTTTACAAATTACTAAAAGACAACTCTCCAACTTGTGAATTTACAGTTGTCCTTGTTAGAACTACACCGGGCTCTGAACATTCATAAATCCAATGAATGCATATATATTTTTAATTTTTACGTTTATTAAAGATGTATGCTGTACAATCATTTCATCTTGGAAAAAGAAAAGGTCAAAGAAATGAAAACCCTGAATGACCCTGATAGTCATACCTCTGATGACTGGATGCACAGCTGTATTTGGGATCTAGTTTTTTAAGTTGTGTGTGACTGAGCTCAGTCAAAGAAAGCGTGATCTTGGTCTTTAAAGTAAACCGATGAGGAACATAACACCATGTGTCAGAGATCTGTAATGTTGCATTACATTTTGGTAAAATGATGGTCAAATGTCCACCATAAAGAAGTTGTGCTTCTCAACTCTGAAAATGTGCTTTTTCCCCCCCCCCTGCAGGTACAAAAGTCATTTAGGAGTTTCTCAGCAGGTAATCAAACTTTTTGGTAACTTAGTTCTTCCTCGAAGTAGCTGTACTGTTTCTTCTCCTCCATACAGGCTTCCTGTAAATTAATCTCTAACCTAGCGGCAGCCTGGGGAGCACGTAACCCTTCCAACCCTGTGCATGAGAAGTCCTAACCGTGTAAAAGTCCTCACTGACCTGCGATGATTATGTTGGGGACGTTTCCCTCTCTGGCGAAGACCTCCAGCCTGCTCACCGTCTCCTCGTTTCCCACAATCTCGTTCAGCTTCAGCGGCCGGTATTTCTCCACCCACGGTAGCTCGTAAGCGCTCCCGGAGCCTTTAGACGAGGACTCTCCGGCCTCCGTGTCCGCCTTTTGTCCGCTTTCTGTGGGTTTCTGCTTACACTCAGTCTCCATCTCCACATCCATGATGTCTGTTTCTGCTCCCTGACAGCCCGCGAACGGAGGTTTCCCTCCCTGACAACAGCGCCACAGCAAACAAACTCCTCATTGGCTGAGTGTTTATGGGCGAAGGTCGTGATTGGCCAAGGAAAACCTCGCGATGTTTCACATTCACAACAGTATAAACGCGAGATGTTAATAAAAAACAAAAAAAAAACGTTTCACGTGAAAACGAATTTATTTACTCTTTCAACTACATGTAATCGTATTTTTATTTTTTTATTTTTTTTATTTTTTGGGGGGGTCTTTTCAAAATCCAATATGAATGATTTACTTTAAAAATGCAACGATTAGTCGATTATTTCAGAACAGAAACATACTGTTCACAACTTAAATAATCATTTTAGTAGCTTTAACTAAACATTTACTCATTCCTGCTCCTTTGTTATTGACATTTTAGGACCTTCTTGTCATGCTTGAAGTTTTTTTCCTTCTGTTTAAACAAAAATACATCAGTAATGCACATTTCTCACCGTTTTCTTGCTATTTTACATGAAGATTATTTACACGTTGTTTTCAGTGGCTGCACGTAGTTTTGAAATGGGTTGTATCCTTACACACAGGCACACTCATGCTCAGTATCAATTATTAGGTACACTGCAGTTTAAGTTGGTTCTAATGGGCCAAACGTGTTCCAGGAAAATTACACCAATACCACCACCATTATACCACCAGCAGAAGTCTGAACTGTTGACACAAGGCTGGATCCACGTTGTTTATCCCAAATCCTGAGCCAACCGTCTGAAAAACAAATCAAGGCTCAGAGCACGTAACATTTTTCAGTCTCAGTTTCGTGTTATTAGCTGACAGTATTGGTCTTCTGCTGCTGTAACTCATCTGCTTCAAGGTGTTGTGTATTCAGAGATGTTCTTTTACATGCCTCGGTCGTAACTGGTTGTATAACTTGCTGCCTTCCTATCAGCTCTGACCAGTGTTGGGTAAGTTACTTTAAAATAGTAACTTAGTTACATTACTAGTTACTTCTCTCAAAAGTAACTCAGTTACTTCAAGTTACTCGTTACTTTCAAAGTAACTAGTTACTAGGGAAAGTAACTTTGGTTTTACTCAGACTTCTCTTGTTAATGTGTTGCTTCCATAACTTTGCAGTCTTCTAGCTTGCTTACTTGCCACAAGTGCACTGTGCCACCTACCAATAGAAAGGAAAAGATAATGTGCACATTTCCACGAGAGAAATCCCACGCCTGGACCGTCATTGACTGCTGCCATGATTCTAGCCTACGTCACAGCGTCATGTGCGCCTTTTACATCCAACACAAAAACTGCAGTTGTGGTGCTTTCGATTGTACTCAGAACTCGGAAATTCTGCCTTCTGAATAGGAAGATGTGGGTAACACCAGACTGCAGATGAGCTGCATACAGGGCTGGACTGGGACAAATAAATCGTCCCGGGCATTTTGACTAGAGAGCGGCCCACCATTATAGGAAAAATCATAAAGCCTTTGAATGATAATAAACACTGTTGTGACAGTGATGTGCACTGTTCTGATGGTATATATGCATCAATCTATCAATCGTTTGTTGCAAGACTCAGATAATTATTTTTTAAAAGCGAGACATTTTAAATGAGAATAAGAAAGAAAAGTATTTCTTTGTGCCCCCCTCTCCCTGTTAATGCCCTACCTGCCCCCTGGCAACACTTTGCTAGAGCCGCCCCTGCACAGTTACCAGCTGTCAGCTGCTTAGAAAAGGATCCTGGTGTTATTTGTTTCTCAGAAACAGTTCATAACTTCCCTTCAACTCATCCATGTCACCTAAAAGGTAAACCTGTTTCTCCATCACCTGTTCAGCTCTGATGATCCAGTAAGGACATCTCCTGGTTTCATCTTCATGTTTCCCTCTCACCACATATCCAAACCAACATCATGACCAGCAGCTTTCCAGCTGTGGCTCCAGCAAACATCAGCTGATACTAGAAATTAATATTAAATAAATTCTAACAACAGCTGATCAAGCTTAAACGTGCTGCTGTTGTTTAGCGCGACATCCGCTGGTTTCCTCTTTCGGCGCAAAGTGGGCGATAAACAAACAAGAGAGACGATCAGCTGATCATTGATCAGTTTCATGATTGAAGTAGAAACGGGAGAGGGAGGGGGGAGAGAATGAAAGAAGAAGAGGCAGCTGTGCAGCAAAGACACAGAATAACTCCAGCTTTGTGTTTTTTTCATTGTAGCTGAATTACGGGACAAACTGTTCCTTTTCACCTCAATAAGAAACGCGTAATATTTTCTCTGAATACCAGACGGGACGGTTGGCAACTCTAATAACTTATGAACAAAATAAAGTTCAACATCATTAACTTCATAGCACCACCCAGCTGTATAGAAACTCCGTCATGCTAGCTGGCACGCAGTACGGAAAAAGTCAGAATAACGAAAATAAACTCCACCTACACTTGGTTTATATCTGACCCAGAGAGACTGCAGGTCATAACTTCTTACCTGAAGTTCAGTTCACACTCGGACCGGCGGCCACGTCGGGTCTCTTTTCCTCCTGCGTCCCCTTTCCCTCATCCACCTGCTGACCTCCACCACTTGCTAATGTTACTGAATCTGTGGAAGCTCCGCGATAGCCACCACACGAAGTAACGAATAACGAGCCTATCTAAATCCCAGTAACGAGTAACGCGTTCCCGGTTTTGGCATAATAACTAGTTACCGTGCTCGTTACCACAATAATAACGTAGTTACTGTAACGCGTTACTTAATAACGCGTTAGTCCCAACACTGGCTCTGACCTCTGGCCTCAACAACACATTTTATCCCAGAGAACTGCCGCTCACAGCCAAGATACAACACAGAACGGGACAAATTAAATCGATCTTCTCATTGAAATAATTTTCTTAATTTTTTGCTGTGTTCAATTTTAGTTTTATTAACTTAAAAAAATAAATTTATTTAAATGAATTATTTACGTTTGCTGCTATTTGTTTATGATTCTCTCCATATAAATTTTTATAAAAAATATATATTTTTCTTTTTTTTTTAATCTTTTCTTACTTATCTAAACGTAGTCTGTTTGTTTTATTTAATATTTTATTTTAATTTAATATATTAGTTTTGGTGTTTTGCTTCCCCTGCTGGTGACTCCGGGGTAGTTCGCGCGTCTCCTGCCGGAATTCGTCATCGTCCGGGTCTGAGCCGTTTCCTACTTCCGCAAACAGAGGGCTGCGAGCTTCCCCGTTTATCGGCAGATCAATGCGGCGGCGGACTTCTGCTTCTCATTTCCTGGCTCTCTTTAACATTTCCGACACCTCTGACATTTATGAGTGATTGATCGGCGTCATGACGGCCAACAGCCGCTGCTCCGCCGCGGAGTCCCCGGGCCTGGAGACCCAGCGACGTGAGATCGAGTCTCTTCTACGGGAGTGCGAGCTCCGCGCTGGGGAGAGCTGGTGAGAGTCCGACCGCCTCTCCGCTCCACACACACACACACACACAGATAAATACGGTGACAGGGCTAACGATTATCTCCACACGGGTAACGCTGCTAAACGGTGATTAACCGCTTTAACTGTGGGGTGGAGCAGCTTTGGTGTGGCTGCTGGAGTTTTTCTGGGACGGTTTAACGGCTCAATGCTACGTGTTAGCCGTGTTAGCTTATGCTAAGCAGGCAGACGTTGCTCTGACCTAGCATGCGCTGTTAACGTTAGCCTGTCGACCAGCTGTCTCCGGTGAGGCGTTCAGGGTCGCCTCGTATCCCCCGGATCGTGTTTTTATTTATCACCGAAGCCGAGCCGGTTTCAGTCCCAGTTTATTCTCCTCTGGGCGACCTCCTGCTCATTTAGGTGTTGGAATGCAGAGCAGGGCCGCCAGTAAATATTTTCAGTTTCATTTTCCAGTGAAGAAGGAAAGATTTAACTCTGTCACGACTGAAAGTGAAATAGAAAAATATGATTGAAACATTATCAGCAGGAATGATATTTGTAAATCAGCTGATCAGTCAGCTCTTCATCAGACCGGCTTTTCAAAATAGTCTAATTAGTTCGTCAAATAGTGACAATCTATAATTTATTAACCTGTTTGTGGACTCTGAGTTTTCATCTGTCTGGTCTCATATATACCGATCTCTGTCCACTTACTCACAGTTAATATTTTGCCCTTTTAAAAGGAAAGAAAGTTCCAGTGAATTAGCTTTAACACCCAGGTGAGGTGAGGACACGAGGCAGGAGTCTTTGTGGACTGTGATGTTCACAGAAGACATTGTGATTTGAAAGACAGGTGGCTGAGCTTAAGGTGCTCAGATCTTCACAAGGAGTGAGCAGGATGGGCGGGAGTGGAAATGAGTACACAAGCTCAAAGTTAGAGAGGCATGGTTGCGATGGTTTGGACACGTGCAGAGGAGGGATAGTTGATATACTGGACAAAGGATGGTGAAGACAGAGCTTCCAGGCAGGAGGAAAAGGGGAAGACCTCAGAGAAGATTGATAGATGTAGTGAAGCAGGACATACAGATGGCTGGTGTGACAGAGGAGGATGCTCAGAGGTGGGATGGGGTGGGCAGGAGGCAGATGATCTGCTGTGACGATCCCTTGTTAGGGGCCGACTCCACAGTGTAGTGGTTCAGACCGTTTGTGCACACAGCAGGAAACACAATTCCCTCTGGTGCCCACGAGGAGCAGCTGGAAGTAGCTTTATTTCTACGTTTTAGGCATCAAAAAGAACTTGGGTAGGCTATCATCACACATCCACGACAGTTTGTTTTTTCCTTGTTTGCTCGGTGAGATTAGATTTGACTGCACAAACAGGAGAAGCGTGCAAAGTCCACACCATGAAAACGTCTTGTTTCAGCCAAGTGAACTTAGCTGAGCAGAGAGTAAAAGCAGCGTTAAATGTTATTACAGCGTTTTTATTTTTCACCTTTTCTGGATGGATGGATAACTCTTCAGAGTTATTTCAAACTTCAGCAGACACTGAAGGATTCAGCGCTGTGTGAGTGCAGCCTTTATTAAACCCGGCAAGTCTTTGAAAACACGTTTTTATTTCGAGTTATTTCATTTGTAAAAAGCTTTCAGTGAAATATTGTTTTATTAAAACATTTAAAAGACGATGACGGTCAGTGAGAATTCTGCTGCGATCACAGAAAGTACCTTTAAAGGGAAACTCGGTGTGTTTACGGGTGCAGCGAGCTGCTGATTAACTGAAATGCTGATTGACAACGGCTGCATCAGACATGCGACAGGAAATAAACAATAAAATCCAGACGCTGGTTAGAACACGCCCCTCATCCCTTCACACTTGAAAAAACCCGACTTCAGGGTCTCAGAAGCAGAAGCACCGTGACTCTGCAGGTTTGTGGCGCTGCAGAGTCAGACGTCACCGGGATTTACTTTCTGTTCAATATTCAAATAAATCACAAAGCAGGCCAGCGGCTGCTCACAGGTTTACAGTGAGGCCATCCAGGCTGACAGTTTGATGCTTCTGCTCACATTTACTCCTGCAGGAGATCAGCCACAGATGGAAAATTATTTATCCATACAAGAAAGTGCCAGCTACATTTTTTATGAAGCGTCGGCAGGCAAAGCGGTTTTCTGTCAAACAGGAATAAAAGAATAATGAGTCCTTAAAAGCAGAACAGCACAGAGGCCGAGCGCTGCAGTCTAACCTCTGAGGACTGATGCTGCGATGGATTTTCATTCCAATCCAAACCATCAGATTTATTAACGCCTGCCACTGTGACGCTTCCTGCTCTGCTGCTTTGGTTTTAGCAGCTTTGGTTTCACATCTAATTTTGGAGCAGGTCGTGTCTCTGCTGCAGCTTCAAATATGACAGAAAGTCTCTGGTTTGATGAAAACAGGTTAGAAATGTGGGATCATGAAGTGATGACTACGTTAAGCTCCGGCTTTTGCTTCTGGCCACAAAGAAAGCAGAAGAAATGCCAAACGTTAAGATCACCATGAATTTATTTTAGCAAAACATCCGATATTTGCTGCTTCTGGCGTCTCAGGAGCAGCGATGTCACACCAATGTGAACTGTTTACGGTGATTTATGTAATCTGTTCTTGATTTCACATTAGTGTGATTTCCCAGCCTGCTGCTTTTGTTTGGACTGTTCTTAAAAAGAAAATCCACTAAAATAAAACCGTGACAGAGAAATAATGTCTCTGACACATCATCCTGTCACTTCATTTTTAGGCAAAAATAATGAAAATAACGACTCATTCAAAGGTTTTGGTGCCTTCATCAGGATATTTTGGTTGAAGAAAACAAATGATCAGCAGCCACTTTGTTTCTTTGTTTTGTTTATCAGGTATTAACTGATTATTTAAGTAATTCTTACTCCCATTCCTGGCAGTAATCTCAGGTAAGACGTCGATTCATTCGTGTTTGGCTGATTCGTTAGCGGTAAAGTTTATGATGGAGGCAGCAGTGTTTTATGAATGTGTCCTCAAAGAGCAGTGTAATAATGTGTGTGTGTGTGTGTGTGTTGTAGGTATGTGGTAGATCGCCGCTGGTTTGACCAATGGAAGGAGTTTGTGGAGACTGGAGATCAGAACTCGACGTCTTTCCCGGGTCAGATCGACAACGCGGAGCTGTTCGAGGGTCAGTTACGCTTCGTTTGCTTCAGCGAGACACAAAATGATTTGTTTCCTTGAGCGAAGTGTCGTGTCCTGCTTTCAGATCTGGACTCGTACCACCTGAAGGATCGTCTGGTGGAGGACGAGGACTTTGTGCTGGTGCCGGCAGAGGCGTGGCACAAGCTGCTGTCTTGGTACGGCATGGTGGACGATCAGCCGCCGCTAGAACGCAAGGTAACGTCACCACGCGCCGCGCGGTACCCTGAGTCCAGAATGAGAGCGGAGAGTTTTTGTTGGTGAGGTTTGAAACACATAACAATGAAAAACCTCCCCTGATGTAAATCTGGCTGCTCTCGTCTTCAAGGCGTCTCCTCGCACAGCTCTGCGCTGCTTGTAGTCTGGCTGCTGTGTTTACATCACTTCCTGGAATCCCTGTTTTGCATCTCTTTCTCACATCTGAGCGCCGCCGTCAGACTGAGGATCAGTGCTGACCCCCGAGGGCGGAGCAGCAGGGCAGGAACGTCACTGTGATCGTCACTCTCTCTGTTTCTCGTCCTCCGACTGTCAACGAGTTTTCCTGTAATCTCGTGAGAAAGGACGAGTCTTTTAAGCAAAACTAGTATGAGCTTGTCACTGATATGACGGGTGGAATAAAATGAAATGATACAGAAACAAGAGGGCGAATGAAAACGTTGACTTTTTTATTAAGCGGCCGGGATAACAGACTCGTGACATGCTCTCTTTTCCTGGTGAAGTTTGCGCATCGTTTTCATGTAACTTCCACGTAAATTCAGATATTTTAAATCATGATGGTCCCGATCCGTCCTTAGGCAAACATTTGTCTGCACGCCATCACCGTCTTTGTTCGCTACGTGACAGATTTGGCAAATTTGTCTGTTGACTGAAATAAAACTTCACGATGAAGACTCGTGTTTCTGATGAGAAGCAGCAGCAGCAGCCAGAGCTGCACGAGGAGGCGAGGAACAGCAGCGAGCAGAGAGCTTTATGGGCAGAGCCGTGAACTTTTACCATAATGAGTCTGCTGGCAGCCACGCTGTGGTGAGCCGACCCTCAACTGGTGACAGGAGGAAAGTCCCAGCAAAGTAAATCATTCGCTTGTGTGAAGCATTGGTTTAATGTTGGATCAAAGGGTAGGAAGCAATATTAGTAATGGTTATGGCTCAGACAGGTTAGTGTAGTGACAACTGTGTGTGTGTGTGTGTGTGTGTGTGTGTGTGTGTGTGTGTGTGTGTGTGTGTGTGTGTGTGTGTGTGTGTGTGTGTGTGTGTGTGTGTGTGTCAGGTGGTGGACCTGCCCAGCACTCTGAAGGTGGAGGTTTACCCCATCGAGATCTTCCTCTGCCTCCACAGCAACATGGAGAACGCCGTCACCACAAAGTTCAGCCGAACCGACAGCATACGTGAGTCCGTCTGTAGCTTTGTGTGTCGGCGAGGTTAATGCTAACGAGAGGAGAGGTTCACGTTTAATCGGCCTTTTCTCTCCCTAAAGACAAAAATGCTTCGTAGTTTAGTTACTTTCCCAGACTTTCTAAACCACACTCGTCCAAACCTGCCAGCTGCCGGTGCATCCATGTCATCCAGGTGACTGCATGTGGCAGATTACATGCACAGGAGCGGCTTCACACCGCGTGATGCAACAGAAACACAAACAAAGGCAGCAGACAGAGTTTGGAAACGAGTGAATAACCGCCTGGTAACAATGAGCCGATAAAGCTCAGGCTACCCAACCTGTTCTCAACCAACTAGCTGTGAAGGGGAGCTGCTGTCAGTTCATTCAGAGGTTACCTGTTTAGGTAAGGAGAAGGCGGGACCTGCTTTACATGTGAGCTCATTTTCTTTTTATGAATCAGATTCAGTTTTAGAGCAAATTTGACAGCAGCAGCTGTGAAGCTGTGTGATAAATACATATATACAGTGATAAAGAGGTCACTGCTTAGTTACTTATTACTGAGGAAAACTGAAGCCTGTGAAAGGTCGTCTCTCTACAAACGAATAACTCAGAAAGATTTAAAGACTAAACCTGATGACATTCACTCATGAAACTTCACCTGAGGACAGATTCCTCCGTCACCACATACAAAGTCACGCTGCGCTGCAGTTTGTTGGGTCGCAGCATTAATTAAAGGAAGTTTAACTTCCGCGGCGTTGCAGAGTTCTCGCATCAGTTTCAGTGCTGTGGTCTCTCTGTTTCACGAGCAGGAAGGGGGCGGTTCATCACGAGCGTCGTGCTAACACGTGTTCGTCTTTATGTTAACAGGAAGCTGATGTCAGGGGCAGAATATGTTCCCCTGAGGGTTCGCGAACAGCTGTTTCAAACACGGTGCTTCGTGTGTGTGTGTGTGTGTGTGTGTGTGTGTAGACTTGATCCAGAGGGCGATGTGTCAGGCCTTCTCGGTACCTCCGGGCTCAGAGTGCCGCCTGTGGATGAAGAGTTCGGACAGCAGCTGCGAGCGTCTTAGGAACGTGCACATGAGCGTGCTGGACGCCTGCTTGAGCTCGGGGATGGTGAGCATGACGCTACAGTCTTAACATCGCTGCATGTGTGGAATAATTCTCCTCATAGCACCACTCTAAAATAACAAGCTGTCCACCTCAGAGATAAGCTGGAACGTGTGTGTGTGTGTGTGTGTGTGTGTGTGTGTGTGTCAGACGGTGATCATGGAGACGAGGAATGCAGATGGCACCTGGCCGAGCTCCAGGCCTCAGATCATGTAAGCGCACTCGCCTCTCTCGTCGCTGTCATCGTTCTCCACGTTCCGTCGTCTCTGCTTTTCTTCACCTGCTTACTTTGAGTTTTTTTGCAGGAATTTTTTTCTTGTTCCTTTTTTTATTTGTCATTTCCTCATCTTTGATTTCACCTCTTCCTGTTTGGAGAAGTTGCGTGATACCATCACCATCGTGATGTTTGTCTGTCGCTCTCTCACACACTAGATGTCACAAAAAGTGTTAAAATGCTTCCTTCATTGACTCGACTGTTGATCTGAATGATGAAATGTTAGGACAGCTGTGCGCTTTAATGAATTCAGCTGGTCCGAGCATGTTTCAGCTGACTTTCCCACATATTTGGTCAGCTGACCCTTTGTTTTGGTTTCCTGTTCAAGAGCAAAAAGGCGTTTCTGTCACCGTAACGCTGCTCAGGTGTTGTAAATGCTCCCGTGTGCGAGTCTGCGGCTGACTCTGTTCTCGATTGCAGGAGGAACTCTGTGGAGGAGCAGGACTCGTACAGAGGGCAGCCGGGCGTCTGTGGCCTCACCAACCTGGGCAACACCTGCTTCATGAACTCAGCGTTACAGGTTTAAACTGATCTTTTTTACTTTGGTTGCTACACCAGACACATGGATCATGTGACAGAGAGAGATGTCACATGGCTGAGCAGGTGACATCCATCAGGGCGGGGCCTGGGTTGGACTCCAGCCGGGACCACTGACACAAATACCTGATACTTGCGAGTGTCAGTCAGGAAGTGCAGTCCAGACCATCAGCACCATTTGTATGAATGCAAACCCAGCGCTGACGATGTTGCTGCGTCGAACATGAATGAAAACAGGACGCTGTGATTCACAAACCTTTTGTTTTTATCTTCTGCTGTAACCAAATATGTGTTTTTGTGATTTTACACGGCGTCCCGACGTGTTCTGTTTTTATTAAGTATGCAGTGACTTGGTGGTCGTGGCAGAGGCTGCAGGTTTCTTCCTGTTCAAAGGGAGTTTTTCTTCCCACTGTCGCCAAAGTGCTCATAGGGGGTCATATGACTGTTGGGTTTTTCTCTGTATGTGTTATTGTAGGGTCGACCGTACAGTGCAATGAGGCGACTGTTGTTGTGATTTGACGCTGTATAAATAGAATGATTTGAACTAGTTTAGTTTGTAATTGGACATTAGACGCTTTTCTTCTTCTTCCAACTTGTGGTTTGTCGTTTGTGCTACGGTCCCGCTCGACTAGAGAACCAGATTAGACTTTTTTGTTAGACTGAAGCTTGTTTTCATTTTGGCGCCTTCAGTGAGAGACGTTTGCTTCTCTTTCACTCGTCACTCTGACTGCAGCTTGAACGCCGACACGTGTGAGCTGCTCGACACTGAAATGATGCATTTGGCAGCTGAGTGTTCAGGTACTGTTGAACATGTGCAGGGTGTGAACCTCAGAATAAAGCGCAGGGTTCGTCCAGACATGTGTAACTGTCTAAATATGGCACAGACTGTATGTTTTGGTTGTTTTGTAAAATAGTCACATAAAGGTTTTCTGCATTTCCTGGCAGAGGTGAAATGCTGCAGCGTCTTCCTCCCTGTGTCTGATCCCTCTCGCTCTGTAATTATGTTGCTCTGACGGCGAGCTTTGTGAAGGAAATCCCTGGTTCATCAGAACTCGAGGACATTTGTGCATCGTTGAAGTTCTCTAACTGGATTTTAGCAGTTTGTTTCGCAGCGAGTCATGAAACCTGCTCGGTGCATAATTAACACCTGTGTGGTGTCAGTGTTGCTCCTTGGATTTCACTTGGAGCTGAGCTTCGGTTTAATATTCACTGAAAACATCACTTCATGCACGAGAACACTTTTTTAACGTTTTAATCAGATGACATCACTGCAGCGTGCTCTGACCAGGCGGCAGCAGCAACGTTCTTGTGTAAAATAATAAAAGCAAACAGTCGTCCATCTCTGTGTAGTTTTATCCCCGGACTAAAGGATCTTTGCAGAACTCACGGTTCAAACGGTTTTCCTCTGGCCCTCGAACTCCTCAGTTTATCCTCGGGCTTAAGCAACTGTTTCAGCTCCTCCCCCCTTAAGCTAACTCTGTTCTGATTGGCTGCCCATCACTAACAGATGTGTAGTAACTCCTCGTGTCCTCGTCTCTCTGCAGTGTCTGAGTAACACCCCGCCCCTGACGGAGTACTTCCTGCAGAACTCCTATGTGGATGAGCTGAACTTCACCAACCCTCTGGGAATGAAGGGAGAGATCGCCGAGGCCTACGCCGACGTCATCAAGCAGATGTGGTCAGGGAGGCATTACTCTGTGGTGCCGCGCGTCTTCAAGGTAGCCGCACGTTACCCTGACAGGTGTCCCGTTACACTCGGGTGTGTTTCACCCGTCGAGCCAAACAAACACACTGACGTACCCTAAAGCTGAGGCTGCGACGCGTCGTCCAGAAGAGCCGGAGTTTGTGACTCGGCACGACAGAAATGACACAAACTGACCTGAAAACATTTTAAATGAACATTTTAAGTGTGATTACATTTACACAGGAAACTAAAACAGATATAAACACAGACTTTATTATCCCACCTATTACAGCAGGACAAGCAACAGGAGGAAATGTGAAATCAGAGATTTAGTAGAAAACTTTTGTCTCTATTTTGTTCCCAATTGAAGGAAATGTCATGAAATCCCAAATAAACTAAACTATCAATGCAAAACAGAAAAACTCAAAAGTAAATGCATAAGTTCAGTGAAGTGAAAGTCAAATGCTTTATTTTCATGTCCCAAAACTTCTCTGCTACTCTGTGTTTTACAGAGCACATAAATATCTAAATATATACTAAAGGACGTGTGCACATATTAGTAGGCTGATGTTTCTGCAACTAAACTAAAACTTGAAAAATGAAACATTAACATCCCAAATGTACTGAAGGAAGAGCAGAAAGCTACAAACGTAGAAATACTTCTTGAATTTACTTCTTTTTATTTACTTAAGTAAATTGTAGTAAATTTACATGCAGTGGTGTTGGGCGTAGGTGAGAGACTGGGGGGCAGGGAGTAATCTCAGTCTGTGTGGCAGAAGCTTCGGTCTGACTGAAGTGGTACGTTTCCCTGCTTCCTGTTTGTGTGCAGACGAAGGTGGGCCACTTTGCTTCTCAGTTTCTGGGCTACCAGCAGCACGACAGTCAGGAGCTGCTGTCCTTCCTGCTGGACGGGCTGCACGAAGACCTGAACAGAGTCAAAAACAAAGAGTACATCGAGCTGCGGGACGCCGATGGGCGTCAGGACCAGGTGAGCGGTGCCAGAGCAAAGGCGTGTGATGGGCTTCATTTCACTTCCTGTCTTTAAATTTCACCTTTCAGTCATTTTCTATGTTTGAAAGCGTCTTCGTTGGTTTTAGCTGTGATCAATTCAGCTCCTGTTTAATCTGACAGGAAGTGGCGGAGGAGGCGTGGCGTAACCACCTTCGGCGGAACGACTCTGTGATCGTCGACACTTTTCACGGCCTCTTCAAGTCCACGCTGGTCTGTCCAGAGTGCCACAAGGTTTCTGTGACCTTTGACCCATTCTGCTACCTGAGCGTCCCGCTTCCTGTCAGCAAGGAGCGTGTCATGGAGGTGTTCTTCGTCTCCCTGGACCCGTACGCCAAACCTGTCCAGGTAACCGCTCATCACTGACCGTGGTCGTGTACGTCTCTGCAGTTACACTGAATAAATGTTTCTGGTCTTTGGTTCTCCTCTTATCCAGGAAAATTCTAACTTCTGTGATGTGCGTGTGTGCGCGCGTGCGTGCGTGTGTGTCTGCAGCATCGTGTTGTGGTTCCTAAAGCAGGAAAAGTGTCCGACCTCTGCTCAGCTCTGTCAGAGATGACCAGCGTGCCGCCCACTCAGGTCAGTGTGTGTTCAGAAGGTTTCGGTTCGGTTAAACACACTTTTAACCTAAACTGAAGATTGTGATCACGTGCAGATCAAAAGTGGTTTCACTGGCTGCACATTAATCCAGCCTTTGTATGTTTCTGGCTTCAGTTTGTAACGTGTGAACTCTGTCAGGGCAGCTTGGCACGACTCAGTTCAAAATAATCCTTCTTTATCTTACACTGGGCCTCATTTCATCCTGTATGAAGCAGACTGTCCCTTAAAGCTCCTCCCCCTGACTTTGTGTTCCAGATGGTGGTCGCTGATGTCTTCAATCATCGTTTCTACAAGATCTACAACATGGGCGAAAGTCTGAGCGCCATTCTCGACCGAGACGACATCTTTGTGTAAGGAAAAAAAATCAGTCCTCTAATGACCAAACACAAAAGCCTTTCTGTGACTCACCTGCTGAACCCGTGTTCAGGTACGAGCTGAGCGTGCTGGAGGAGCAGCCTGAGGAGCAGGTGCTGCTGGCGCTCTACCTGAGAGAGCGCTCGCACTACAGAGACTACGGCTCGGGCGGCGGCTCGTACGGCACGTCGCTATTCGGACACCCGCTGCTGCTCAACGTGCCGCGCAGCAGCTGCAGCCAGGAGGCGCTCTACAACCTGTTCCTGCAGAGACTGGCGTGAGCAGAACGCACACACACACGCACGCACACACACACACACACGCGCACACACGCACGCACGCACACACACACACACAGTTTTTGAATATACTGAGTTTTGCTGGGCGGTGTCGCTGTGTGTGCAGGCGCTACGTGCGACTGCCTGATCCGTCTGAGGAGTTGGAGGAAGAGGAGGAAGATGATGAAGAGGAGCTGTACAAGACTCAGACCAACGGCATCAGTGATGGTATAAATCTTTACTTTCTGGTTCTGAGGTCTGATGCTGCCTTTCGTTTCATGTTGTCATACACGTATTTGTTTGGCTCCTGCAGTGTTTTAACTTTTCCTCGAGCAAATATAAAAAACGCTGACACAACGACACAACGCGTTCGTGCGCTTGTCACACGTTTTATCTGGGCTGAGTGAGCTCTGCAGCTGCTGCTTTTGTGTTGTTTTCTCAGATGACGAGCAGGAGGAAGTGGAGCCTGCTGGCCCGTCCCAGACAGATTACTCCTGCGGTGACGCGACCCCCAACAGGAAATCAGACGGCAACACAACAGAGCCACAGGCTGAGGAGAACCACATTCAGCCTTTACCGGACCACGGAGACCCCGGTGAGAACAGTAACGGCTCCCAGAGCCAGACGGAGCCCGGCTGCAGCGGAGACACCAACAGCGCCGATGACATGGACCCCGGCGAGCAGTCGAGCGGTCCCGCAGGAGCCGACCGCAGCTCAAAACCTCCAGCGGAGCAGCCTCATGAGCCAACAGAGGAAGAAAATGAAGAAGACAAGCAGGAGGAGGCTTGCTCTCCCAGCCCGCCAGCCAATGAGCATCCGGCTAAGAGGAGGGCGTGTCACGTTAGGAGGAAGCGTCTGTTCAGCATCCAGGCGGTCAACTCCAACGGGACGACCGAGAGGGGGATGGGAGAGGGAGGAAGCGCCGTGTCCTTCAGCTGTGAGTGTGAACGCACAAACACAACCTCTGTGACATCACACTGATGTCACTCATCAGTGCGATGATGATGATGATGATGATGAAAGAGCCTCAGATGAGAATGAATCAGAATAAAATGAAAACATCTGAGTGGAGCCATTTGCTGCCCCTCAGTTCAACCTTCAAGTAAGCTTTCTTCTGATTGGCTGCCTCTGCTAAACAGTAGGTTTGAACAGCAGATGGGCGGAGCACAGCTTTCGGCTAATGGGGATTATTGGTAGTTACTGGAAACTTGAACCATGCTTAACATGGATCAGTGCAGCAGGAAAGCAGAATAACCATGTTATCAGACGATGTCACATCCTGTCGTCAGCGTATCAGCGTAGCTCACGCTTCCTTTGTCTCTGCAGCTCAGCCCTACGTGGCCATCGACTGGGAGCCCGACATGAAGAAGAGATTCTACAACGAGAACGAGGCTGAGGTCAGCGCCAACATTTAACCCTCGATAAAGCACAGCCTGTATGTAACACATTCACAGGGCGTGTTCTGAATAACTGAGGGTCATGTGTTCAAATACAAGTGGCACTGAGTGGGTCACAAAAACAACATGACCTTATCTGTTGGTTCATTTAGAGACTGATCTGAATTATCTGGTGTCTGGTCAGTGGTTTAAACAGAGGCTCTAAACATCCAAGGTACAAGAACAGCATCCCTGTAACATCTTAACAGGCTGAGTGGTTTGAGGACGTAATTTAACACACAGGTGCAAACAGAAGGACTCTGACTGCGATGAAACCTGAATGACAGACGTTTGACACTCATTTGTCTTCTTGCACCTCTGACATTAAAATCTGTCTTTCCTCCTCCTGTGTAGAAGTACGTGAAGCATGCCAGCATGGAGGTCCCTCAGCAGCACATGACTGTTCAGCTGCAGCAGTGCATCGAGCTGTTCACCACTGTGGAGACGCTGGAGGAGGAGAACCCATGGTAACACACACAGACACAGTAGTGAGAGTCTGAGGAGAGCTGACCACACAGAAACCAGTGAGAAGTAAACTGGGGGACAAGCTCGATTAAAAGACTAAATACTCTGAAGGTTTCACCTGTTTCAGGTAAAGACCAGCACGAAACATCTGCGTCTGTAACGTCCAGATCCAGGGTGGAGCTTCTGTCCCGAGTTTGAAAAGCAGATGCCGTCCACGTTTTCATTTCAGTGGTGTTAATTTAAGCTGCTGTGGTGCTGGGTGATCGACCTCGCCCAGTGCCCTCTAGTGGTAGCCCTGGAGTCAGATCACACTTTCAGTCCAGTCAACAAAAAGAGTGTGGGCATGCTTCAAGGTTTTACATTCATCAACATGTAAAATCTGATGAACTGAGATGCTGGGCAGCATGGTGGTGCAGCGGGTAGCAAGGCTGCCTCACAGCAGGTCCTGAGCTTGAATCCAGTCGGGGTTCTCCCCGATTACTCCGGCGTCCTCCTGCCTCCTGCTTGATTAACCCAGCAGCGGCGTCCCCGGCATGATGAGATATTCTTTGTTTGCTGTTGTTTTGCTTCTTTGACTGAATGATGAAAACCTGTCATTCAAAGCAGCAAAATAACACTCAGGAGTCGCAAGTTTGATTCCCATCCGGTATCGAAAAAGGGTCCTGGCTAGACGCCCCGTGCTTAAAAAAACAACAACCCCTGAATGTCGCGGCTACATCTGCAGCCTGTCCGCAGTTGGGACACAAGCATTTCACTACATGTTCAGTATATGTTGTACTGCGTATGTGACAAATACAATTTGTATTGTATTAAAAACCTTTACACTGCACAGCTTTACTGCAGATACTCACATCTGCTCCGTGTGTGCGCTTCAGGTACTGTCCGGTGTGTAAGAAGCACCAGCTGGCCACAAAGAAGCTGGATCTCTGGTCTCTGCCAGAGGTTCTCATCATCCACCTCAAGAGGTTCTCCTACACCAAGTTCACCAGAGAGAAGCTTGACAGCATTGTGGAGTTCCCCCTCAGGTACACGCACGCACGCACACACACTGATGGAGGAGTCGCACACTGAAAGCTGACATGTTCATGTTACAGAGACCTCGACTTTTCCGGCTTCCTCCTGAGGAAGACTCTCTCCAGTGAGGAGCCTCCGAGCCGCTATGACCTCATCGCCGTGTCCAATCACTACGGAGGACTCAGAGATGGACATTGTAAGTTTGTCGTTCATGTTGTGGTCAGCGATTTGTTTGTCGCATGACTACATGACTTTAACCATCACGTGTTTCTGCAGACACCACCTATGCGAAGAACAAGGACAACGGTCAGTGGTATTACTTTGACGACAGTAAAGTGACCTACGCCACAGAGGACCAGATCGTGGTCAGTACCCCCGCCCCCACACCTGTTCAGTCGGATTTCACTCTGATCTTGTCACCTGACTAATGATCGTTGGAAGCAGCAGCGCGTTGTCTTTATTTGAATCACACCAACGTAATGTTTGTCTGCGTCTCTCCTCCCACAGACCAACGCTGCCTACGTTTTGTTCTACCAGCGACAGGACAAGATCAGAAAACCCACACTGCCCGCCCCCAACACAGGCCCCACCTCCTCCAGCCAGACGTCCAGTGACACTGCTTCCTGCAAAGACGACGAGGATGCCGCAGAGCTGGGCGCCGCCTCCAGCATCACTATGGAAACAGAATGATTGAGTAATTTGGTTTTCTCAGAGCAGCCTTTTCTTTGGTTTTCGTCTTTATTCTTTTAGAATTCTCAGTCTATTTATTTTTTTAATTTTATGGTGACGACACTTGAACTTCCTCTAACGACGTCTCTTCATTCCAAGTTTCCAAAAGCAGGAAAAAGCACATCAGCAGGCGGAGCTCGCAGCTCCTCCTCTGCTCCTCCTCCTTCACCGTGAACTCTCGACACTCAGGTAGTTTGGTGCACAAAGACTGAAGGTGACGTTTGCTGGAGGGCGGAGCTTAAACTCACACCTGAATACAGAAAAGCAGTCTGCTTCCTGCTTCAGGGAGGAACTGAACTCTGGCATTTAAGCTCTGACTGTTCACATTTATAAGTTCATCTCCTCTTGACTCAGTTTTTGTAATCTGACATTCAAACGTTTGAAAAGCTGTTTAATTAAAATCATTTGAATTTTTCTGGATGTCTGATGCTCGTCCAGGTTGGGAAGACCAAACTCCAGATTAGCGCGCATTCGGGAGACTCTTTGGCCAATCAGCAGCAGTTCTGCAGTCAGCTGACTTTTTCTTTTCCTTAAACTGTATATAAAAGACAGACAGTCTCATTATAATCACGAGCGAGGCTTGAGCAGCGTTTAGTGAGGCCACAGAAAGTCGCCCCCTGGTGGTCGTTAGAGGGCCGATTTAAAATACCAGCATTAGTTTCACTTTCACACATTGTTTTATTTCTGCGGTCATGCCAACGTCTGCGAGATTTACCACTAACAGAGGTCAGAGGTCACCGCACACTTTCACCTGCACTGAGGTCATTCCAGTTCATGTTTTTTCCCTCTTTCCCTCAACAAACACGATGCCGACGGGCACCGGCGAACGTGCCCACCAGCATTCGTTTATCTGGGGTAAACCTCGCAGACACTCATGCGTCAGCTGACTGAAGAGGCCGCGCTGAGTGCAGACGAGTTCACGTTCACATTGTTGCATTTTCCACATTCAAAGTTTTTACAATTATTCAAGCTGAGCGAGTTCGAAAAGCCAGTTTCTCGTAGCAAATGTTTGAGGCAGAAATGAAATAAAAGTTTTTAAAGTCATCTTCCTAAGACACGTTTAGGAAATGAGCACAGAGATGGTTTCAGTTAAAGCCTTAATTCGCGAGCAGCTCAAACCTGCGACGACCTTTTGTATTTGCTGTAAAGTGTTCGTAGATGCACTGATTACAGCTTTGATCCGAGTCTAAAACAGGCCAGTCTTTTCTTAAGTTGTTGATTTCACAGCGAGTTCATGCTGAATCTGATTTAACAGAACTAACGATGATCAGACTGACTTTATGATATTAATGCAGTGATTTTTTTTTATTGTAAGCGCCTGTAAAAACGCCATCCTCTGAACTAAAGGACTGAAGTTTGTTTTTCCCTCCGAGTTTCGATTCGTCCTGAAGCGCAAACATTTGTTGATCCGACATCGTTTAAAAATCCAGCTCTGAACTGCAGCTCAACGTCGACCTACGACAGATAAAACTATTAAATACTAATCCATAAAGCACAGTTTCACTTCCTTATTTCTTCTTTCTAAACAGGCACGCCTCAGTCGCTCGCTGAAGGGGGTTGTGGGTAATCAGAGGATCAAACAAAGCTGTCAGGGATGAGAAATGAATTTTTCTCTGTATATTTTGGTCGTTTTGTTTCGGGTATTTATTGTTTTAATGGAATAATTGCAGCTGTCACATGACTACGGTGGTGTGGGACATTTTTCGTATTTATACGCAAACCTTTGATTCAGGCTGAAAACACAGGACGGGTGTGCGCGTGCAGAGGCGGGCGCAGAGCGAGCTGCTCACTGATTTTTAAACCAGCGCTGTGTACAGTATTTTTGTATTGTAAGTAATGTAAGATTAATATGATCATTCCTGGGTGGAGCAGCAGGGAGGCTTGGGGTGATTTCTTTCTTTGGTCTTCCTGTCAAATATCAGATGAGAATATTTTATTGTACTTCAATCTTTTGATATGAATAAAACACGATTATTACCAGACATCCAGTTTTTCTGTACTCTTGGCTTCTGTCTCGTTATTTTAGCTTTAATTGCGTGTGTGACGAGGAGGACGCGCTCACACATCGTACAGGAGACGCATCTGTTTTTAAAATGACCACAGCTGAACGAGAAGTAGAACCAAGTTATCAGCTAAGGCGAGCTTACTGCACGGAGCACGAGGCGCACAGACACACGCTCATCAGTGCTCCATAACAACCACACCAAACCCCGAAGTTCACTCAGCACATCTGGAGCTCAGACTTCTGTAAACAGCACAGCAGCCGTATGATTGGTCAGATTATTAAAACAACACAAAGACATGCACGACTCAGACGTTCAGATACAGCCACCTGTCATTCAAATAGGCCACGCCCCTAAATTTGAGCTTTACTAAAAATTTAAATTGATCTCAAAACATCCAGACACCAAAAACTGTCAACATGTTTGCTTCATGTGAACCTTTAACACAGGGACTCACTGCTGGAGCCTCTAGTGGACATTTGGGGAATTGCAGTTCTTTTTGCAGGCTTTGTTTCACTGACAGTCTTTTACCTTCCTCCACCCGTGTGTGGAGCCACACTGAATGTGTTCCCACCACCACTGAAACAGACTCAGCTTACCGGGTAAAAGCAGAAAAACAAAGGCCGGCAGACTCAGGAATGAAGAGCTGAATGATGAAAGGATGAGAAATGTGGTTAGTTGTGATGGCACCTTTATTTCACTCACTCTATGCGTCACACCACAGCATACAGAGGTACATCCAAAACGTCCTGCGGGACGACATGAAGCCTTCGCCCGCTTCGTCCTGTTGTAAACGTTCCAGCCGTTTTTTAAAAACGATGCTTCGGTTTCCAGCGTTGCTCCGGAGAAACGTTTCAGATCTCAGCAGGTGCTCAGCCTGCCGGTGTGGAGGATTTTAAAGCTCCGATCTGTGTCCTAAGTCACTACTTCCTGTGTAATGGATTTGGACTTGAATCGCTGAATTTAGATGTAAAAATGTGTAACTTAAACACCCACGACACAAACATCATTTCAAAGTAAAATCTCAAGTACAAATAAAATCTTTTCTTTTAGATTTTTCTCAAATATAAACTAACAACAACCCAGGGAAGATCCGGAGCCCGGCTCGAACTCCAGGAAACGTACAAAAGCTGAGAGTGAGCGAAGCGCCCGGGGCAGCAAAGAGACGATTTCAGAGGCAGCTCCATAAAAATAATTCTCTGTGTTTAAATCCTGCACTGTGAAAACTATCCCGGAGCCTTCAGGACAGACTGAGGGGAGAGCAGGGCGGTTCAGGAACACCCCCGGGATTCCAGCGCGTCCTCGTGGTCCTAGAATACAGCAGACTTGTCCTGGCTGAAGAAGCCCCCAAAGTTTAGGTCTTTGGACATCAGCTCCTCCTCCACATTCTCCAGCGCCCACTTATGTTCCACGACCTCCAGCGCCTCCCACTCGCTCTGAATCAACAACAGGGACACGAGTCGCAGCATTTAACTCCACAGTGACGATCACTTTGTCTCAACAGAGCTTATCTTTATATTTTTACTGTAGTAACGTTTTTGCAGCATTTTACGTTTTTTAAAAAAAAAAGTAAAGACAAGATGATAGTTTATTAAATTTTAATGAAATCTGCAGATTGTTTCGGTGAAGTTTAATAAACTCCTTGCTATCTAAACTATAACAGGACACCGGAGTAAACTCTGCAGCATCTCACACTTCTGATAATCAGCTGTCTGCTTGACGTTTATTCAGCTGTGTAAAAACTATAACTATAACAGATTTACTCAGGAACAAATAAAATACTGAAAAAAGCCAAACAATAACATTTTAAGTTATCTAAGTGACTCATATATATTTAACCTGAGTAGCGAAAGACGGCGGTGGGTTTGAAAACGATTTGCCGGGAGTCCGGTGTTCTCACGGCTCTAGTGACCTAGCCCCCGGCTAGCTAACGAGCTAGTGGGTAACAGACGTCTCCGAAAACGTCGGAGCGCTTTTGAAAATATGCGGTGTCCTGATAAACTGAGCAGATATTTGAGGTTTACACAGCTACATTCTCGCCTGAAAATATGTTAAACGTTTATTATGTGACCCAGAAAGAATAATAAGTAATATTCAAACTAACTAGCTGCCGCCATTGTTGGAAACTGAGCTGGGCTGCGCTATGAATTCTGGGACACAGCTTCTTCTTCTTCTTCGGGGTTTAACGGCAGCTGGCATCCTTGTACATGCAGTGCTGCCATCTTCTGTTTCAGTCCGTTATTACACTCTTAAATCCTGCTACTTATTCCTGCGTCTTTTGTGATCTTACAAAGCTTCAAACGACGCGTTGACTATTAAATCAGTCGTCGACGATTTTGATAGTCGACTAATCGTGGCAGCTCTAGTGCTGACTGATATTAATCTTTAATAGGGATGTCAAAACTGAGAGCAAACAAAACAACATGCCCTCTGCTTAGTTTAATTGGTCACATGACTGCATTACATGACTAAAATGTGTCATCGTTTTTGAAAAGGCTCCGTTTTCGCTGTCCACACTGCACCGTGAAAAAAGGCATTTTCAAATGTATCCGCTTTGGAGAGCGTTTTCAAGACGCTGCGTTTTCCTCGACCGAAAACGCCGTCTCAGTGTGGACGGGAGGCCAAAACGGGGAGAAAAAGATGCGTTTTCAAACGAAAACGTATTAGTGTGGACATGGCCTGATCCTCAGGCTTCACTTTAAATGGGAGTTACTGGGAGGATGAAGGCTTTGCCCACACACAAAGTTTAGTGTGGTCACGAACAAACGCTGTTATTCTTTCATAATTCATGTTTCACTTTGGAGAGGAAACAGACAATCAAAGCAGCATTTTTGTGCAGTTGTGTGTAAATGTCACCTTGAAGGCCTTGTTGGGGTCAGGGGGCATCGCCATGGCAGCGCCTGTCATCTGGTCCTGCATGATCCGGGACTGGTCAGCAGCTGAGAGGGAACGCCGGCGTTAGTCCACGAAAGGAAACAGAGCTGAGCTTTACGAGAAAGTGAAACCTCACCGTTATCCTGACCCAGAATCAGGCTGTACATGCTCCTCAGCCCGAACACGTTCAGGAAGTACCAGGACGCCGAGCTCACCCTGCAACATCAAATCACGTGACTTTAAAGAAGCTGCATGTCAGGAAGTAAGATGACTCAGATTCAGCTGGAAGGAAAATACTCCTTCATGAAACTCACAAATAAACTTTCATCACATTTCATTCACACATCAGGGCCAAAGCAACAGACTGTAAATAAAAGATGTATGTCGTGTTTGATGCTTTTGAAACTGAATAAAAATGAACTGAACTGTTTCTACGCTGCGGATTACAGCGGTAAATGTTTGCACTCTGATCTCTGCTGTGCTGCATTCACGGTCTGCTGAGCAGCTTGTGCGTTTCAGTGTTCAAGTTGAGTTTTTACCATGAGGCATCCAGCGACAGCAGGTCGATCCCTCTCTGCAACATTGGCTTGAACCTCAGCGTTAACGGGAACGGCACCTTAGCTGTGAAAAAAACATCGGGAACCAGTGAGACGAGTCGGACCTGCTGGGCGCCGCTTTGTTTACAGATGTGATTGTAGTGATGCGCATACGTGTCAGGTATCTAACAGCGCTCACAGATCATTCCTAAACTGTGTGTGTGTCATACATCAGGATGTGGACAAACTCACTAATGACGAATCCAGAGAAAGCCCAGTTGATCCATCCACCAATCACAATCATGGGCAGGACGTTGGTCAGGTTTCCCTTCATCATGTCTACCATCATGCTAGAGTCTGCAACAAACAACAGGCTCAGAGCACGGCTCCACTGACGGATAAAAACATCCAGATTCTTTCAGCTGCAGTGAGATGACGAGTGTGTTCCCTCATCATCTCACTGCAGGTGTTTCCATAAAGTTTAACGTCCAGGTGTGCGTAAAGGAGACTTATGAGGCTGATTTCCATCCAAAGATTATAACCACACTGTGACTGAAGGAAGCCTAAAACAATACACATCTGTTGTAAACGGACGTAAACAAAGACCGCAAAGGTAGCTAACAGACAATGACCTGCAGTGGTTCGATGGACCTAAACACACAGCACGGGAAGATGAAGGATGATGAGCTTAAATCCGACCTCAATCACAGGTCATGCTGAGGGTCTGATGGGCGGAGACAAACACAGGGCAGGAAGAAGACGCAGAAGACGGACTGAACTTCAGATGACGGTGATGTCATAACTGCGGGTTCAGTCCGTTTAAATCAAACTGTTTTATTCACTGGAGATGTCACTCAGGTGTGAACCAAAACAACTGTGCTGAGGAAGTGGTGTCAGTCAAATAAACACCTTCTCAAAGCCAGGTATGCTTTGCATTCTGGGACGTGTGCATCGGTCAGTAGAGGTAACTAGCCTCCACATGTTGCCCCGACATGTTGCCCTACTAGCACCTTCTTCTTGTTGCTTTTGCTGCTCCCGTCTGAGACACAGCTGACCAATAATCAGAGCGAACGCTCTCACAGGTTTGAGTTTTTATCTGGGTTAAAGGAAAAAACAAAACATGGAAAAAAAGCTACACGTTTACAAACTTGTCAACTGATTAAGAGCAAAGTAAACGAACTACAGACGTCTGAGGTGATCCATCCATAGCACGAGGTTCGTTAATGCTTCTCCCTATGCAGACGTCCCGATCCTGAGCTTAATGTCCACTGCGAGTTCACAGGCTGCAGTATCACAGTGAGAATTTAACAGACTGAACATGAACAGAGCAGCTAAACCATTTCTGAGGGACTCGCGTCTGTTTAGAAACCACGAGACAAAGAACTGAGGCGCGTTAAAGACGAGAACCAAAGAGAAACATTTGCACCCTCCAACAGATCATCAGTTAGTTCACACAGGCAGACCTGGTTATAATGAAGGGACGATCATGTGTTCAAACACACCTGTCATGGGGTTCTTGGGGACAACCTTCCTCTTGGCCTTCTTGAAGAAGCCGGTCTCGGCGTCGTTGAAGTAATGTTTCCTCATGGCGAAGGACTAAACCAGCGGAGACACTTCACTCAGCGAGTTTTACACTTCATGCACTCACAGTCAGACTGTGACATTTAAACACAGCTGATTATTTAAAGGATGATTTTTTTAATGTCTGTAACTTCTAACAGAACAGTCTGTGGTTACTTTGCAGACAGACAAACATCCGCTGCTCTTCATCAGAAGTAAATACGATTTACACATGATGCATGGAATAAGGACCCACAGAATAAAGAATACGGAGGATGTACTGAGGGGAAATTTGACGCCCTCAAGCACAGGGTGTAAATGTATTAATATGTAATATTTTAGGATAAAGGTCAAATTCTACCTTAAACCGAAGGGGCTCTCACCTGTCGGGGAATGTACTTTCCGTTCTCTCTGAGGATGCGGCTGCGCATGAGCACCTGGCTGAACAGAAACATGAACATGGGAGCGGTTAGGGTACGATGCTGCCCGGGGCGCCACTTTCATTTCAGACACACAACATGACTGCGAGGAGAGCTCAGTCAGGGATCATAACAGGTCAGATATAAGCTGAGCACCTGAAGGCAAACAGTGTTAACTTCAAACATTTTTTAGAAGTTCTTCTTGTCGACTGGTCTGATAAGTAAACATGGACGTAATACACAATAAAGGATCCTGTAAACAGACACAGCTTAAGTTTTCTTATGAGTCCAAACACAGCAGCTCTATCAAAGCTTCTTAACTGCGTAAAAACGAGGTAAAAGGTAACGATGGACTCCCTCCCTCCCTCTGTTCTTTGTTACTCCCTCGACCAGTGAACGCAGCACAGGTCAAGCTGCGTCTGGGTCCTGACACATTGTTGATCTGCAGCTTATGTAATGGCTATATTTGCCAGCTAAAAGGGAAACAGGTTCACCATGACCTCTGTGAAAAACAACACAACAAAACCCCCAAAACCTTTTACTGCCGAGGGGTGAAAAAAAGAAGAAGAGGTGAAAATTCCAATATATGTGATCAGGATGCTCAGCGAGTCGCAATAATACTCTTACGTGACTGATACTGCAATATAATTGTATTACTAAATCTGCTGGTTCTCTAAAAAAAGAAAAAAACAAACCTCTGTGTGTGTGTGTGCTCTCAGACTCACCTGTCAGAGACCTGCTCCAGGTTGACTTTCTTGTCGCTGTGGAGCAGCTGGGTGACATAGTGTCGGATGACCCCAACAAAGAAGGTGACGAACACGATGGGCAGGACCACCCACATCCGAATGCTGGAGTCCAGCAGGAGCTCCGGACCGGCCATCGCTCTCTATTTAACCCACGATCCAAGGACAGACAGGGAGGCGCTGAGGAAGGTGTACCGGACAGTTTGGAGGAGGAAGTACAACATGAAGTGATGCTCAGTGTTAAATCATTTTACTAAATTATGAAAACCTGAACCTCAGCATGCAGAAATAAAGTCTCTCCATAGTATCTGAAGGCTCAACAGTTCTTATTTTATCAGCATGAACTATGACACACATGTGAACACATGCTGAGCTGCTCTCTCCTGGTTTATTTCAAAATAAGAGCCTGGAGAGAATGAGCAGAGGGTATTTTTACCCCGACAATAGCACGATATAGCGGCTGAAAGCTTCTGCACATCACCGCGCTTCCGTGATCGACACTTCACTAATAATCCTTCTTGTTGTTGGACAATGATTACAAATCGCTCCGACTCCTAAATTAAATTGTGTGAATTAAATCCGCCGCTGACCTACCGGCAGCTGAAACGTCACGATAACTGCTGTTTCCTTTAACGGAGCTAAGAGGTGCTAACTACACGAACCTGTTACTGACCGCTGACCTCTGCTCATTCATCGCTCAGCGGCTACAGTTAGCATTAGCCCGGTGTAAACTAAACGCAAAGACAGCTAAAGGTGCTAGCTTGCTAACTCAGCGGGTTACTCGTGTTAAATCTTCAGCTTTAAATGAGCGTTTGTACAAAGTGACAGCTTCTGCGGCCGCACAGGTGAGTTTAATAAGTCCACCAGGTCACCACTGCGTGAAAATAATCTGTAATTTATGTTGAAATGACCGTAACTCACCACATTTATGAACTTTGTTAAACAAACTGCACACGCGCAGGAGTTAGAAGAAGAACTTCCGGTTTACCGGAAACGGAAGATTATTATTTTATATTTTCGAAATCACTTTTAAAAAAAATTAATTCAATAAATCACATAAAATTGAAAACATTTTTTTTAAATTTTCATTAAAATGTTAAATAAATGAATCATTCTGGAAAAATGGGCCAGACTGAGATATTTAGATAAAGTTGCAGGTTGTTGAAAGAATAAAAAATATAAACTGCTCAAAAATAAATAAATACAATAAGAGAACACAACATTTTATGATGTTTCCACTAAGCGTTGTTAAAACCTTTTGTTCTCAACAAATTACACAGTGCATTTCTGTAACGCTTGAATATTTATCAAGAGCCGATATGTGATTTAAGTGTTCCTTTAATTCTCTGAGCAGTACATAATGCTTGATACAAAGTTGTAATCGGTCGATTGTTTCTTTGCTGTAACAATGCTTCCCGCATGTAAAAACCTGTTTACTTCCCCTTAAATGGCGCCATATTTGTGAGGAAGGTGCATGTGTGGGTTGAGCAGCAGTGTTGAGTTTGTGGGTTGCACCCATGAAAAACACATCTTCTCTGCCACAAACGTGTCACCATTTAAGGGGAAATAAAGAGTTTTTCCAATAGTATAAGATTTAATGTTTGACCAAACACAAATTTCCTCACTTTTTGTGCTAAGATTATTTAGACTCTGTAATTTAGTTATTTGAAAAAAGCTTCACACAGTTCACGTTTTTTGGTAAATTTCTGTGTGAGAACCAGCTGTTATGTTTTCACATTAAAAGCTGATGAGAATATTGATGATAATACACACAATGCTGGGTGGACTGGAGGTTAGGTTGTTACAACAAAAAGAAACTGGACTGTCCATGTGTGAACTGTAAAACCATGAGAGGAAACCAGTTTTCAAATCCATATGCAGGCAGATGTCGGGGGTAGATCCTTATGTAGATCCACACATTTAGTGTCTTCAATTTCTCTCCATACCTGGGAGACTGTCGCAGGTTGGATCCTCCTGTCACTGGCTTGATAAGAAGAATTACAAGCTATAAATAAGAATTACGCTCAGAAACACTGACAAAGCCACAAACTGAAATGCATCTTTTTCTCTCTGTTCCTATGAAATATTAAAAGTATAATCAACCACCTGGTCTTAAGGAGGCAGGAGCTAAAATGCTTCTTTTATGGAGTAAAAAACAGGACACTAAACAACCCACAATGAGGAAATTTCATTCTCATTATTTTCCGATATAGAAGGCTGGCGAGCACTTATGTTATTCTGCACCGTCCCACAGCACCTACGTCACTATTTATGTAGGAATTTCTGTATTTTATTATTTTTACCAGCTTCTGATTGGACTCTTAATGTGATGTGACTTCTTGCGTATATAGGCAGCAACAGATTTACAGTTTTATGATGAAGTTTGATGAAGATTGTGATTTCCACCCGCTGTAATGCTGCGCTGAAACAGCACTTGAATGAGAAATCAGTGAAACAAAGAGGACACGTGTTTCCATCCACATGAACAGATTTTTATATCTTTAGAGCAATAAATAGTTCCACTTCTTCCATTTCTCTGCAATTTCAAAAACAAAGTACAAGTAATATATATTTATATACACAGCTAAAATTTTCCATACGTAATTTTTAAAATAATGTTGTCTCTGTTGACACATATTTGACACTTTACTCGTACAATTTTACAAGGACTATTCCAGTCTCTCTTTGCTCTACATTATAAACAAGAAATATGTCCTCTCCAGAAAGCGGTCCAGCAGCTTGGACACGCCCCCCGTCCAACGCCATTGTATAGATGCACACAACACAGACTGTCTTTACACAGGAACAGAATCATCCAACATTTTTTAACTGTACTTGAAGCAGATCTGATGTGCTTTGAATCTTGAAAAATGTTCCCTGTTTGCCTGCTGCAGTCAGACCAGATCTGTTTCTCCAGGTGTTTAAAAAACATCAGACCTTCCATTCCCGATGTAAACCCAGCCACAGACAAACTGAGCAAAGTGAGTACTCGCAATGTTATTTTCATTTAACGGCTGCTATGTACATTCATGTTATAATACAGTTTCATTCAGTGCAGATACTGTAATAAATACCACATGCAAACCGATAGTGGAGAGCAGACCCGGGCAGGAGAAAAAGACCTAATTTAAGCGTTTAAAGGACCATACCTGCTTTTTTTCTGCATGTTCTTAAACTGGATATACTGTAAATTACTTTCACAAGAGTCCCGACGCAGTTTAAGCAGATTTGTGTCCTCCCAGACTGCAAGTTCATGTCTTCACAGACACTTGAATCCTGCTGCAGATAACTAATCAACCACAGTGAGTTTTGTTCTTATCTCTTGCGTGTAAGAATTGACAGCGACCTGACAAAAACGTTGCACCGACGGCCTCCGATGGCAGCAAAGCAATCCAAGAACTAACAAAAAAAGTGGCCTTGAAACACGAGGAAGCAGATTTTGGCCTAACCCTAACCCACAGACACTTGGCACATGGTGGGCAACGGCTCGCCAGGAAGCCAGGACGTTTATATGTCACCGGTTACTGTTTTGGTCCACAAAGACTAAATCTGGGGTTCTCACAGTTTGGGTGACCAAGTGGCAATTTAGAAAGAATTTAGAAAGCACACAGTTTAAGGCAGTGGAGGCAAAATCTAGCAAACACAAGAGAAATCTAATCTGACACGTGCAGGTGAAGTTTGACACAGCAGTCCAGCAGTGTAACTATTATAGGCTGTTTCCAGTCATGCCTGCCATGGGGCGAATAGACAGTAATCAGCCTGTAGTATATATATATATATTAAATATATATATATACTTTTTAAAATTTCTTTTTTTTTTACTGTGGACCTGTTGTAAAACAAACCCAAACAAACAACTGAAATTTCTATAGCGGAAAGTGAAAAAACAGGAACTTTACAATCATTTCTCTGTTTCTTTTATGTAATTACAGTGGGAATGGTCTGGCCCCTGGGCCTTACATTTAACACCTCTGACTTAGATCCTTGTTAGATGTTACCAGTGATGGATGATTTATCTGCAGCAAGTGTCAAGTTCAATGCAAGTGAAACTTAAACCGAACAGTGGACGTAGGAAGGTAAGAAATCTCGACATGGTAGCGCCGTAACACAAAGTAAATACGGTTTGAAGTTCATAAACATGCAAACGAGGGGTATGGAGCTTTAAGATGGGATGTTTACTGAGGATGTGCTTGGGCATGCACTGAGACTGAGTGAAATGCTGTGTATTCCCTTACGAGGTAGGTTTGATCCAGTGCTCCTCGAGAACTTTGTTTTGATGTTTCTGTGGTGTTTGCCGCTTTAGTCTGGAGTCGACGTGGTCACTGTAAGGCCTTTAGAAAGAGACAAAGTCTTTCTGCAGGTGATTGTAGATGCATGCTATGGCCCTACGGTCCAAAAATTCTTAGCAGCTCAACATGAAGTGTTAATTTCAATGTTGTTTGATAGCAGAGGTGTTGCTTGTTTCCATTAAAAGAGTGAAGAGAGGCTTTGTGATGATTCAGTGTGCAGGCGTGTGTTTGCTTGAGCATGCTGTGGGTTGAGTCAAAGTAATTATCACAGTCTATAATCAAAATATTAGAAGAACTTGTATGTCAGTTACAGAAAATCATTATTGTTTGTTTTTTTTAAATATATTAAAATTAAAAAGGATTGAATACTTCCATAAGATGCCCAAATCAGAAAAGAAATAAAATCTCACATTATAAGCACATAACAAAATTAAAAATGCTAAAAATACAAAACAGCCCAAGGAGTACAGTATGTTAGTAGAAGCTTGCCACACAACAATATTGATAATAATATCAGTAGCACGCTCTAAAAAGTCAAAGGGGTTCTTCAGATTGAAAACAACAGGGAACCCAAGATGGTTCCCTGAGGAACGCCGTCAAACGATTCCAATATGTGACTGTATTCCCACAAACCTCGCACACTAAGGGCTTTACTGTTCTCACGAAGAAGCCCGAATAGCCCGAAGAACCCAGATGAACTTTGGTTTTTAGAGCACACGTTTTGTTAATTCAAACAATTCTGAACCTCAGTTACAGATTGATGCTGTTGGCCCCACTGAAAATAGAACACACTGTACAGTTAATATCTACAGTTGGTGCATTCACGTCATCACAGGGAGACTAAAAATATGTCGTTAATGTTTGCATTCAGAGGAATTTCCCATCATCCACCAGTTAAACTCTGGCAAATATTTATATGAGGCTGACTAGCAACCAACACTGAAAGTTTCATTTCTAGTCAAAAAATGCAAATGGATGGTAAAATCGTTCAAGCGGTGGAAGAACTTTCTACCAGCCATCACGGGCCTCCTGCCCTGACATCCGGTGAGACTGATTAAAGGAAGAAAGGAAATACACTTCAATACTGGCATGGTAGATTTGAACTCAAAGTGCAAAAATGTGTAAAAATGAGTTTGTTCAAGAAGATTTCACTCGGTGTGACACGGAAACATGTTCTGCACTTCAGTCCTGTGAGATGTTAGCGAGTCCTTCGAATGAAATTCGGTCCAGGTTTCAGGCTCCTTTGTGTCTTTGTTGGATGAACAAGGCGACGAGCGGCTCAGTCCTTCAGCCAGACTTTTAAAAAATGCAGTAAATGGCTTCGATTTGCTGTTTTGAATGGACACAAATCATTATATTATTGATTTAGACGCTGAACTGTCTTTGTATTCCATGGAGGTCTTTTGTGAACATTATTATTTATATTGTACCATCACTATGTCTGAAGGCACCTTATTCTCTATTTTGCCACACATCAAATGGGATTAAAGTTGATTCACCCTCCGAGTTTTTCACACGCTAACGCAGTTTGGACTGGGTGGGAAATTAACCCTTATTTTCCATTTATCATATTTTCTCAATTGTTTTATATCTTAGTAAAATAATAGAGAGTTTCTAACTACTGCTGAGAACCCAAGTAAGTGCAGAGATGAATCTGAGATCATCTGGATGAGTAGGTTCTTATTTATTTGAATAAAGCTTGCTCCTTGTTACCAGTGTTTTCTACTCATTACATATGAAAACAGGCGTAGGTGCTGAAGCGCCTTAAATCCAATTTATTTCTGACGGCAGTCAGTCAGAGGGCAACTAGTCTGGTTACAAAACAAAGGCCGGCTGTATCAAGTTTATTGGAAAAACACCCTTTGACCCACTTGTCTGAACCTCAGTAAAGACTAACCTGAGTTGCTATATTTAATTCTATGACTCCGTCACACTGGACTAAAACTGGGACTGCAACCTCCTTATGGGAGGCCACCTGTCTCCAAACAATTGCAGTCCGGTTCAGACTGACTGGTGAAGGCTTGTACAGAGACATGTTAATCAGCCCGAGTCAGCCTGTCCTGATAGGCGTACATATTCTGCATCTCTGGTGGCGGTTGCATTCTGGTTAAGCTCCTACACCCGCGTCATTCTGGAGTTAAATCGTCACTACGTCACTACTTGTGAAGGAATTTCTGAATTTCTGTTTCAAATCAATGAGGTTCGACTGTAAGGATTTCATGTGAACTTCTGTGTCTGTCGATGGCAGCAGATTTGCACTGATCACAAACAGATTGCATGTAAACGCCTCATTCAGTCACAGACTGGCAGCAGATCGATAGCAGACCAACTCGTCATATTGCATTTTTATCGATGTCTCGATGCACCAAAGTTGCGCTGACGATGGCAGCTAGAGACCTGGCCCCCATCTTTGAAACAACCACTTCAAAGGCAACAAGGTCACAAGTGGTGGTGCCACAGTGTCTTTGCCCTAGTGTGACTGAAACATTCTTCCAAGCCTCCTCTTCTGCTAAGTGCCAAAGCTAAAGCAAAGTCTTAACCCTTAAACGTGCCTTTAAAGAGTTGTAACAAAGAGAGCGGGACAAGAGGAAGTTCTGATAGTTTAAAAAATCCAGTCTGATTGTCTAAATCTTGTTTATTACAAATGAAACCTGGCGAGTTTTATTGAATTTCGTTTAACTGTCGTCTTTGGTTTGTTGTGACAAATGACTTCAGTCACTCACTCATGCAGTTAAACACACAATCACACATCATGAGTCTGTTCATAGCTGCCAGCTTTTCAAATCAATAACTTTATGATCACCTGCACGCGATGAGTTTAGGGGATGTCAGTAATTTAAAATAAAAAAAGTACTCTCCTGAAATAATCTAAATAATATCTGTCTGTGCATCTAAAGACCATCACTTGTATTTCTTTTCTTTACGGCTCTGTCTCCTAATCCTGATTTCAAGGATCTTTATCTGAAGATGTTTAACATAATGTAGTGAAGCCTCATCAGTGATCAACGTTCTGCTGTGAAGCAAAACAAAAAGGAACCAACAGAAATGAAACATTTGAAACTTTTGGTACGTTGTGATGAAGCTTGATTATCAGAATTATTAAACGAGTCTTGCGTCAAAATGTTGGTTTCGTAAAGTAAATTCAAGCCTTTAATTTCCCACCCAGTTCTGTTAAGATGATAAGTTAGAGAGAGAGTTACACCTTATTTAACTTAACCTGAACAGTTACATCGCTTCGTTTAGGTACCGCAGCTCTCATCTCCCTGTCCGGCAGCTTTGGGCCCAATCTCCGTCTGTGGCAACGTAGAGGGTCACATACAACATGGAGCATGAAGTACAGCTGAAAGCTGCAGTATTATATCATCTGAGTATATTATAATTTGTGACAAATTCAGGCTTATGCTTTCATATACACTTAATAACAAGGGAGAGCATTCACAGGTTTAGCACAAATGATCAAATAAATCCCCGTTACATGAGGAAATAATTGGGAATTTTTTTAAAGTCCCAATCCAAAACAACAGCGTAGCAGTCCCTGCTGAAACCCTGTAATCCACAGACGCTAAAGGCTTTTAGTTATTTTTGCAAAGGTAAAAAGACACCTGGAGTGTTTGTTATGATGGCTTATTTAAAGGTTTTAGAAAGTTTATTGTCCACCTAGACGGTCAAGTGTTCCGTATTCTTCACTTCTTATGGCCAAATAAATGCTGGATTGGGGCTTTAAATCACAACAACTCCCTCCCCCTGCATATAGAAGTTTAACCACAGTCACACTGACACTTATTAGCTATTGCACAGGTCATGCATGCCTGTCTAAGACACAGAAACTGCACCATATTAACGCTAACCACCTCTGCTTGTCCGTAACGCCTCATGGCTTGTAAATATGTCAACAACCAAAACAAGAGTGCTTTTGTGCGGAAAACAAGGTGGTGTAAGACGACTGTGTTTTTTGGAAAACGCGACCCGGACTCGCTTCGTTCTCCGCTCTCTGTACATTATGTCAGGCGTAATCCTTGGGATATATATTCTCAGGCACTGTTCCCTTCACGTCTGGTCCCTGAACCGTTTTTTTCCACGACAGCACACAAATTCCTACGATGTGGCACGAACACTTCCCCTGTCGATGAAGAACTACAAATATGTCCTCCCAGCTCACCTCTGAAGGGCACTACGGGGGGAAGATGAGGACGTTTTCACCAAGACATCGGGACAATGTGGGTGTTTTTTCTTCATCTTCACGTGACTGAAAACGGCATGATTCACGTTCTGGATGCTTTTCGCTCCGCGAGCAGCTTTTTCTGGGAGGATCTGCTCCCTGTAAGAAGCATCCGTCAGTGTGTGTGCGTCTTTCTACCTGCGGGGGAAGTGGATGTGGAAATAACACAGGCTGAGAAGTTTCCTCTTCCCCGCTCTCACCGTTCTCCTCCTCACCAGGCGTCCACTTTCATACGGCTGCATTTGTCCTCCCCCTCCTCCACCTCTCCTCCTCCCTCTCCTGCTCACTACCACCCCCCGGCGGCTCACTGCAGGGTGACGCGCCACTGTCCTAGACTTCTGCCTCCTCACACGACCGTGCTGATCCGGCTGACGGGCTTGGATTTGGGGCCGCCCCCTTGGCCTCCCCCCACCCCCGGGGGGTGCGGGGAGAGCGGGGCGGTTGACGGGGGAGGCAAGGGTGAATGCGGCGGGGGAGGCGGGATGGACGAAAGCGGTGGGTACTGGGGGGTATATGGTTTCGGAGGCGTCTGGGTGACGAGGCGTGCTGAGGGAGTCTGGGGTGGCGGGGTGGAGAAGATGAAGTGGGTGGAGGGGGAGGCGGACGGGGACGGGCTGAGCGGGGAGTGTGTGTGCACGGCGTGGTTGTGAGAGTGTGTGTGAGCGTGGGGGTGGGGCTGCGAGTGCGAGATGGTCAGCGGGAGCTTGGCCCCTCCACCTGGCCTCCCCGCCGCGGGGTGCGAGTGGAAGAGTCCGTGTGGGGTAATGGGGGTGACAGGGGAGTGCGGGGACAGCGGCGGCGGCGTGGTGAAGCCTGACGCCATGTTGTAGCGCGGGTGCGGAATGATGACATGTTGCATCCTCTGATGCTGCTGGGTATGAGAGGGAGCGCAGCCGGACGGGCCTTGCCGTCGGGGTGCGGAGAACCTGTGCGAGAGGACGTGGTGCTGCGGGACGCTCTGCATGTGGTAGCGGTGATGGTGATGGTAAGGTGGGGGCGGTGTCTGCTGCTGCTGGTGCCCAGTAACACTGACTCCGCCTCCTCCACTGTTGGCGTGGCAATACTGGGCGTGCAACGCTTGGAGCTTGGATTGTGCCCCTGCCGTACCGCCTCCCCCTCCAACTCCTCCCGAGTCCGACTGCCCGAGGTTGGGCGATGGGGAGGGGCATGGGGAAGGGGAGGATGGGTGGGGATGGGAGGCGCGGGGGCGGGGTAGTGGGGGGGTGATGATATCATCAGGGGACTCGGCGGACCCTGTGGAGGGGGTGAGGTCATCGTCAGGGGACCAGGAACTTTGCCTCTGCGACTGCCGAAGAAATTCCCTAGTCGGCCTCCGCCAGTCGGTCCGCCCCCTGCCGGCATCCCTCCGCCGCCCCCAACCCCTCCCCCGCTCGCGAGTGGGGAGGTGGTGACCCCTCCCTGGTTGTGACAGAGCCCCGGCCCACCCCCCACCCCCGTACCGGGGCTCTGAGTAGGGCGGTGTGGCCGGTAGGCTGCTGGAGATGTAGGAACCATGATAGGGCTGTAGGAAAGACCTCCATCAGGCAGAGGGCGCTGCTGGTGAGGCCGGGGGCTGCTAATAATGGAACCCTGAGAAGAAAAGAAGACGAGTTTAACATACTGGGTCAGCATTTACCTCAGATTCTCACAGACCATCTCATCTTTCTGATGGAAAAAAAAACCTTGACATGAATCATGCAGATTTTAGGACAAACGTGCAGAAGAATCACTGAAGAGGTTAAAAAACAGACGATAGAAATGCACACACTGAGCTCCTGAAGGTAACGTGTCTGTAACCTGCTTTTCTGCCACAGAGGAAAGTAATTATTGATGACTGAAAGATAGATCACGAAGGCCTGCCAATCAAAGTAGCCATGCACCAGATAATTGAAGTGTTAAGACGTAACAAAATCCAAAGGGACGAGCGTCTAAAGAGCCTCAAGTGGCCAATAGAGGAACAGCAGTTTTGCGTCTTCTCTTCAGTCTTGTAATCCCAAGGATGGAAGCTCCCTGAACTCGAAGCTCTGACCATGATATTCTGGCTCACAAAGCTGTCAGTCATCCTTAAATCAGCTGACTAAGGTGGACTGATTCCAACAAGTGATTGAATTATTTAAACATTTTCAAATATGCCTTATAGGAGCAACTTTACACTTACGTTACTTTACATTTTATTCTTCACTTCATGTTTTACTTATTTCACAGAAAAGGCCTCAGTGCTCAAGAGAACTTTAGAGAAAGGCTGACCCGTCCTATTTTGAGGCTAACACGGTGGCTAAACTCTGAAATGAAAAAGGGTCATGAATACAATTGAAGCCATGTTTCAGCGCTCACGTCATACGTGCATAAATATTTTCACAAACACAAGTTATGAATCAGACAAACATGCATCAGCAGGGTGTGTGACAGACAGCATGCTGGGAAGTCGTGTCCCGCCCAACTTACTTCGATGGTACTGTCCAGTGACCCCACACTGTTCCTACGACCCCGCTTCCCTGTCACCCAATCAGAACGAGGCAGGTTAAAACGTGGTTGCACATGCATTCTTCACTCAGTGTAAACACAGTTTTTTCCACTCTTTGATCTGTATGATGTCATGAAAAGGGAATACCCTTATATGGTCATCACCTACACCTTCTTCCTGCTGTTCAAACTTTTTATTAATGAGGCTGACCAACCTGATATTTACATACTTATGCATCAGTGCTAATTAACAGAAGGCTGTATTACTTGTATTGGCTGATTAAATCACAGCAGTAAACCACACAGTTTCCACAGTAACTTTTTGCATTTTCATGCTGTAGTTCCTACAGTTATCCAGCAGGGGGAGACAGAGCACCACAGCATCACATCAAACTTCCATCTTACAGGCATTTTACCATTTTAGATTTCATCAGTTGCATAAGAGCACAGGTTTGCTCTGACTCGATACATCATACTAAAAACCTGGAGCTGCAGAACTTCTGTCGCAGAACAGGCAGAGCGAAAACCACACACACACACTCAAAAAAATGAATGAGGTGGATTGTTCAGTGTATATTAATGAGGTCTTACTACATTAGTTTTAGTTTGTATATGTGTACATATAGTATGTATATTTACAGTACAGTATGTTGTGTTTGTTGACATATTTTCAGGTGGAAGCAGAATATGTGAGGATTACTACTGCTGCACATGTTCCAAGGCTTTTTACACAACTTGACCAATACACTGACCAGCTCATAAAAGTCTTCAAGAAAAAAGGAGGCGTTGCAGGGAAGAAAATTAGACAAACTTTGGCCCCAGCCACACAGGTGCGTTATTCTGTTGGTAGCAAAATATTATGGCTAATAAGATCATTTTCAAATTTAAACAGCTAGTGTATGGTAGCTGCACAGTGCACTTACATTTATATTAAGCAAGACAAAGTTTGGTACTCAAAACGTTGGAAAATTTAAATTACCTAAACATATGTAAAATCTGATCCCTTGATTTAGGTTAAACCAGAAGTGAATGTTTTTATGTTATGTTTTGAATGCAAAAAAGATGATGTATTAGTTTGTCTTTACCTCCATTATGGACATATATAATGTGGTGGAAACCCTGCCCAACAGGTTAACTATTCATGTCCATGTGATGATTAGTTGGTCTTGTGTACATGTCTATCTGTGCAGTGGATATGTCATTCATTTTGCGTATAATGTGAGTTTCTGTCATCCTAAAGTATATCTGTTTTCTCTTCCTGTATCTCTGCCACTATCTACAGAAGGAAAGTATTGAAAAGGGGAGGGAGTGTGTCCTCAGGGCACTACCTTTTTACCTGAATGAAGACCCAAGCATCCTCTTCAAAGAATAATTGGTTGGTAATTTTAGTTTAGTTTTTTATCTGTATTAAACCAAATTTTGAATAACTAATGTTGTTGCATGTTGTTGTTGTTGTAATTTGCATGGAACCTGTTTAAATGTTTTGGGAAATCTTCTTGTATACCCAAACTATTTCTATTTATCGTTGAATCTGTAGTCTGAAATAGTGGCACACTGGGGTGCATGTTCCTAATATTGTGTTTACGTCATTAAAGGGTAGCTTTGGCCCTTTTTCTTTCTTTTTTTAAAACTGGATGCCATTTTTCTATGTTTTTGTGTCTAAGCTACAGCTGTTCAGAGGGAGCTGGAACAAATTACCCTTGCTATCTTTACCATCGAAAGAGCTGATGCCAGCACTCCTCCAGCCGATGTGGGTATAACCATCTAGTGTGTCCTGCATGACCTGGAAGACCTGGCCTCTGCATGTGCACTCTTAATGGGTGGGATATATGCACTGAATCTCAGTTAACCTCAAGACTGAAAGCTTTCTTTGAAGTACTTCAGAAGCTCTTCCTTCATCTGTATGTCAGCAGACTCTTGACCAAGGTACAGTTGCTCAAGAATACACTGAATGAATAAGCCAACCTTTAATTTGGATGATGAATGTTCTGTCAGATGGACAGAAGTTTTTCGGAGGCTGAATGGGAATAAAATGGTAATTTGTAAATGACAGATAACGGGAAAATTACATTTAAGAGAAATTTAGAACATTTTGAAAAGTTTGTAAACTACTACAATTTGAGAGATTTTACTGTTGTGGGGGGCTAGTAAGAGACAATCAAAAGTATTGAGATTTAAAGGATTTAATTGAGAGATGATACTGCACCAGAAATGTTGAAGGGTGGTGTGTATATTAGCGTTCAAGGCATATTGTTATGAGGTGGAAATATGTTCATATTCAGTTTGTGTTACATTGTGTGCATTGTAAAGGTAATTGCAATACATACTAAAAATAAGGGTAAGTTAGGAGGTTGATCTGATATCCTCGTGTTGGTGTTGTTCCCAGATCATCATACTAAATGTTGTTCCAGGATCAACATTGCAAGTGACCAATCAGAATGTTGTGACGTCATACTTTTGCGACTTCGGGAAAAACCGGCGTAAAACAAAAAACTGTACTTAAGCTGCGTGAAACCGCCTCTGTCCGCCGATCAACTGACCCTGACCCTAACCGTAACCCTTTAATAAACAGTAAGCAGAATTGATATTGTCCTTGCAACACTGGAATTTCATAAATGCACGAATGGCTTGGCACGCAAAAGAATAACGTCACAACAATGTGATTGGTCACTTGCAATGTTGAACCTGGAACAACATTTTCATGATGGTCTGGGAACAACACCAACACGAGGATATCAGATCATCCAAGTTGGGAATGCAGGATGAATGTATATTTTGTGGACTTTTAAAGACGAACAATTGTTTCCATGTTAAAATGTTTACATCTGAAGTTTTTTGCCCAAACACTGGTAAAATAAATGTTGACAGTGGCAAGTGTTAAATGGTTACTGCTGTGCTGTTGCAAAAAAACTGAACGCTGACAAGCTGTTTTATTGTTAGACCATAATGTTGGCAAGTTTTGTTAAAGTTTTATTTGGGATGGTGATGTAATTTTCTTTGATTGCTAATATCAGTGGACTATTTATTATTATTATTATTATTATTATTATTATTATTATTATTATTATTATTGTTGTTGTTGTTGTTGTTGTTACATAAATTTTTTTTAAATTGTGGCTGTTGAGGTGGACACTTCACTTTGCATTGTTAAAGGAAAGCACTTCATTGGCATTGTGTTACTGGACTGACCCTAAGCAATCATTGCAAATAGCAACTTTGCTATCCATTTTAGACACTAAAAGAAAAAAACACTCACAGACCTTACTAGCATCACATGTGCATAACTCAAGTGTCATCTTATCAATGTGTTATGTGATCTTCAATGTGTTTTTTTTTCTTCTTCTATTTCTGGTAGATACAGACATTTAATTTAAAGTCTTGATGTTGCATCTGTCTACATACTGTTAATTACTAACCCTAATGAGCTGTTGTGTTTTATTTTGGACTGGATTTACACAAATGCTCACTGAATGTGTTGGCAATAAAAGAAATTTTAAAAAATAAGTTGGATGTACTTAATTCATTTGTGTGGAACCTGTTGACAAAATAGATTTATGTAAAACTAATTAATAAAGCACAAGGTGGCTGAAAATATAATATTTGAATTAATCTAACTTAAATTTAACATTTTACTGCCACAAATAAGAAATGTGTTGAAGTAACTAAACTATCTAACCTGAAAATATATCATCTATGTTCATACAACATAACTTGATTTAGTTAGTCTTAAATATGTCTTGTTAATCTTAAGTAGTTTTTTTTAAATTAGATGAACTAAAGATTTTTGCTTTAAACTAACATAATTCAATTTCGTGGAACCTGTTGACAAAATTTTAATTAAAGTCAACGTTTCATTTTTTTGAGTGCATCTGTAACATGTGAACAAGGTGAGCCTCGCATCGTACACCTGTCCTCACCTGTCTCTGAGAGGTCTCTGAGCGACGAGCTGAGTGCCGTGCGCTTGAGTCCGTCCACTGTTGCGTACGTGTCGTCGAGGCTCGGCCTTCCCAGGGTACCGTTCACCACCTCACTCTTTAAGGTTCCTCCACCGCTGTTTGCCCCGCCTCCTTGAGTGCCCATGCCTCCCGGTCCTCCCCCTGTCAACACGCCAGGACGCATGACGCCTTTCTGCTTCTCGAGCTCAGCTGAAAGGAAAAAAGAAAATCAGGAAAGCTGTCATTAACGACAACTCGCTGGATCGCTGTTCACTGCAGATTTGGAATCTACTGCTGGTGAAGTCAGGCGTGGAAGCTTGAAAGGCAACACATGCAGGCTAAACAATGCATTTATAACACTGAAATATTTGAATTTGCACATAAATAACTGAATTATAAGGCTGGAGCCACAGTGTCAGCAGTAAATTTCACCCATCTATTTTCTGCCCCTTATCTTGGGGTGTGGGCAGGCCTAAGCAGAGATGCTCTCCCTGTCAGACACCAGAGTGCTCTCAGCTGGACATGCCTGACACCCCTCACCTAGGACGCGTGGAGGAGGAATTCGATGTGTAGAAGGAGCAGCTCTTTCCTAAATAGCCGAGCTCCTCACACTGCCTCTAATTAAGAACCCAGAAGTACGCCACTCATATTCTTCTGCTCACTAGCCGCAGCTTGAGTCCACAGACGAAGGTCTGAATGTAGATCGATCGGTAAACCGATAGCTCAGCTACCTCTTCACCACAACAGGCAGGTACAGCATCGCTGCAGACACCACACCAATCAATTTGTCAATTTCCTGCTCCCTTCCTCTCTCAGTAGTGAACAAGATTGAGATACTTGAGCTCTTCCTCATCCTGGGGGAGCAACTCATTCCTTGGTTGCTGAAACCAGCAGCAAAAGAACTTCAGAAACCCCAAGGATGGTCCACGCTGATACTGGGAGGTGTTGTACTCGCAGACATATGGATGCTAAAATGCTAAGATGAGTTGACAGATATAATTGTTTGGCTGTTAATATATGTGAGCAGCCTGCCAAAGTGAAGTCTGTGTGTGGGAAGTTCTTCATGTACCGTGACTGCTGGCAACCGGCCTGAACTCTAATGGTATAACAATTGATGTATTATTAGCTGCAGTGAGCACAAATCCAGAAGAGAAAAGAAATGAGAAAACAGATTCTGAAAATAGTCTTCCTCCAATGGCACACCCTGTCCTAAGCCCCGCCCACAGTGCATACTCCAAATCAGCTCATGTGAAACCCCGCTCTCCAGACTCAAAGCTCTACTGGAACTCCTCCGCTGTGTATGAAAACACCTGTGATTGGCCAAGGTTTGTCTAAAGCCTGTGAGCAGAGCCCAGACGAGGTGCAGAAAAATGGTTATTTAAAAAAAAAATAAAAAAAATTGTCCAATGAAGCGACTTTAATTAAATAGTTATTTGTACCTGTGCAGCAGACACGCTCAGAGTAAAGTATCTGGTTCTGTCCCTGTAACGATCACCGCTAACAGCTACAACCACGTCCACCACAACCTTTGTGTCCACTGCTGGTTTCAGTACTGCTTTGTGTAATTATCCTTCATTTAAGGTCCCACTGAGCCTCCCACTGCTGTGACAGGAACACTTACACTCCACCCTGTACTTCTCCATTTCCTGGACCTCTGCGATGCTCTCTCGGAGGTCAGAGGTGAAGCGTGCCCGGTCCTGCTGGCTCGGAGCGTTGAAGACGATCAGAACCTTCCTCTCTCCTCCGGGGTTCGCGGACGTCAGCCGGATACCGTGAGGATAATCTGAGTGAAACACAACACAAAGACATTCAACCTCATTAGTCCTCTGATCTCTGGAGGGTTGGGGGTTAGAAAGATGATTGTTGATTAACTTGAACTATAATAGTTTCCTAAAAAGTAAAAGGACCCCCAAATTTTGCAAACACCAGCCACTAGATGATTGTTAGCATTTGGCGCACCTGTCAGCAACATCCGGTTAGATTTGCGTCATGCTAGTGTAGCTCAAATGGTCTCAAAGTATTTAAAGAGGACACTTTGCCACGCCCTCTATTTTCGCTCTCCTCCTTTATGTTTGATTACATGATTGGTGGTGCGTACCCTGGAGCTGGGACGGAGTGCCACCAGCTGCAGCTGTTTCAGCCCAGCTCACCAGCACAATGTCATCTCTGCATCAGCAGTCAGTCCTGGTTCAGCCGTCTGTTGTTATCTCTGCTCCTGAGAATTCTGTTTAATCGCTCATGTTTCCCTTTGTCTGCACTTCTTTTGGTTCACCCACCTCCAGTTTCCAGACCTGCTTTGTCCTTTCGATGCTCTTCCCTGCTTCATTCTAACCCGAGCCCCAGCTTTGGTCTCAGTCTCAGGCTCTCACTTACAAATCCAAGCCTAACTCCCAGTTTTCCACCCTCCATTTCTAGCTCCTTGGTATTTTCTCTGCTAAGCTAACACCAGCCCAGCTCCTCACAGGCTCTTTGTCAGCTTCCTTGCCGTGTCTAATAAACTGTCAGTAACCTGTTTGGGGTTCAGACTGCCTCTTTGTCACGTTTTTTTGTGATATTTTTTTTCTGGTGTTGATAAATGGTCAAAATATGTAAAAGAGAGAGTGATTCAAATGAAAAAGAAAATACCTGCAACTCAAATCTGAAGTGATGATCGTGGAGGCAAGAAAGACGCTGCTGCACGCCCGCGTGCTTCAGGGGGAGCAGAGTGTCTTTTCTTGTTTTTTTGGATGTGGATATTTTTTGGAGACACAGTGGAGAGGCAGGTTACATGGCCTGCTGTGAACATAACTCAGTGGCTGCAGTATAACATAAATAAGGTTTCCCTGCAGAGCTGAGAATAGGAATATAACTCTGATGAAGAGCACAGTAACGCTCCCTGAAAGAGGAGTTCATAGTGGGAGTCTAATCTAAGGGACATCCAGAAGGATGGATCCATTCAATTTTTTTAAAGGGCTCGTTTTGCACTGATTTCCTTCCCTCAAATCCTTCCTCACATCTCCAAGCTCTGCAAATCAAACAGATGTAATGTACGCCTCAACGTGTATGGATGGAAAGCCGGAGGCAGACATGCATTAAAAGGAGGAGCTGGGGTGGAGGTGGGTTCCAAAGTGGCTTGCAGATGTGCAGCAACTGTATGCATTAAAGCGCGTTTTATGTTGTATTGTTTTATCTGCTTGGATTGACAGTTGTACAGACCCTTTGTTCAGTAATGAAACTGAAGTAATTTAACAGCCTGTACTTTGAAAATAATGAATTGGTATTTGGAGCAATCTGTGTTATTTCAACTTCATCAGAAAACAGTGTGCTGATCTCTGAGCCTCACCCCTCCTCACGGGCGGCATTAATCTGATTGAGAAAATAAGATTTGTGTACACGCACACACAAACCTTCCTACCTGCCTCCCACGCGACGTGCGCACACACAAACACACGCACCCACGCGGCTGATGCATGACTGTGCTGATGAATCACATGGGACAATCTGTCCTGGTCTCAGTCATCAGCGCCCAAGACCCATTTAGCTCCAACTGGAGAACCAGAACTGTCAGCAACAAAAAGCACCAAGTGAACGAGCTCTGAGGCGACACTGGAACAACCGACATATACGTGACACAATGTAATGTGATGCAATCCAGTCAAATACAGCGTAAGGAACAGAAGACAGCTCAAAATATTATCATCTCTGTCTCACGAAACCTACAGCCAACAGTCTTCTTTCTTTTTCAGAAGGCTGCCAAAGTTTAGTTTTAGCCATGATGATGCTGAGAAATAAAAATAGGAAATCTTTATATCATGTGTTTATTGAGACTAGGATGTCATGGCTGTGAATCAGTTACCTTAATGTTCATCACAGCAGCTCATGAGACTGTCCAGTCCTGCTTTATGGCTGGAAATATGATGTGAGAGCAAACCAAGAATCATCAGCTTTCTTACAGCTTTGGTTTGATTACTCCCCCTGGATATTCTTCTTGTCTAGTACGGCTTTAAACTGATAGCTTGTTGTTGTTAAAGAACCTTTCACTCTGAAACCTAAACTGAATTAAAACGAAATAAAAACAGAAGCTAAAGAAAATGAAAACCCTGGAACTCTATTCTTCACATCTCTGGTATGGAACAGTTGGTTAAGTTAAGGAAAAGATTCAAATAGACTCTAACATAATGCTGACCACAGGTTTGAAAGCAAATGTCTCACATGATCACAAATATTTGTCTGTGTAAAGAGCTCCTTTAACTCTGTGAACCATACAAATGGCTGTTTGTGCCATGATTAGTAGCACTGCCGGACACATCACAGTGGTCTGCCACAAGAAACACACTGCAAAGACCCACACCACTGCCAGGTGAGAGCAGAAGAGATGAGAAAGCCGAGCATTGAGAATGCGGCTAAACCTGTGACTCTGCAGAGGTTGTTTCAGAGTTAATGTGAGTGTGTGGAGCAGGCTTCATCCATGTGTGCCGGCACAGTCTCAGAGATAATCTTATGGCTCCCTACAGGTATGTAATGTCCCTGTTAGGTAAGCCACGAGTTTGTGGGCGGCTCTGCTACATAATAAACAACCTCTTTCTGAATTTGGGAGCTGAACTCTCTCTCTGAGCGAGGCTTCCTGTTAACAGGTGCTCAGGCAGATCTGAAACGCCAACAGCTCCAATCTGCTGCATGCAACTGAGAGCCAATTCATCTCTGAAGAAGTAGAGTCTTGGAAAACATGCACACTTGTGTCAGGAATGACAGGAGATTGCATAATCGTGAGCTGTGCAGAGGCGCAGTCTGATTTTACCCAAGCAACACAGGAGGATTTCTATTATATCAGGAATGCTCCCGAGAGCGAATGAAGCTCTGTGGAGCTGTGGGATACACAATGGCATTTTGGGGGGGGTAATCTTTTTTTTCTTCTGATGACGTCATGGCAACAGCCACGGTAAAGCCTCCATGATGTGAGGCATACAGCCTCCTCAGAGCATCACCTTCAACCACCACCAGCAGCTGCTTCTTATACACAAATGTTTCTGCTGTGGTTTCACAGACACTCCCACTGTCTCGTTAGATTTTTTATTTTTAACAAGGTACAACAGCCGTCTCCTTTTGTAAATCCTTAATGGACCAATCGGTATGCATTAGCATGAGTTATCTTCTAATGCTGCTGAGGAAGGACTGCTCAGTGACATTTGACAGACTGGATAGTTAAAGCTTACATGTTATGGACCTCATTTATTTTAGCGTCTTTGAGCAAATGTGATGCTGGGGTATGAAATTAAAGTACACTAATATTTTGTTTATTTAGATGTTGCATGAAATTGCTAGGCAGGTTAACTATACCGGTTGGTGGTACTGTGGTAATGTTTAGTAATGCACTCTGTGGGACTGGTGCAGAGCAGCTGTGGTGTTCATGGTCAGTGACATGAACACCACAGCTGACAGCACAAAGTTCAATTAAATTTAAGATGTTGATGCTTACCCTAATCAAAACAAATAGACGCCTCAAGGTGCTTCATATTGTATGTAAAGACCCAACATTAGCACAGAGAAAACCCCAGCAATCAGATGAGCAAGCACTTGATGACAATAGAAAGGAAAAACTCCCTTTTGACAGGAAGAAACCTTTGGCAGCCATCTGTGACAGTTGGGGGTGATGGAGGAAAACGGGACAAAACAGAGTGGAATAAAAGCCACGAGAGTCTGTGTAATATCTGTTTGGATGTTGCTGAAATCAGTTGGTTAGATGCCCTTTGAAGACTACTTTACTCGTTTCCTTTTGTACTCTGATTACAGTTCAGCATCTGTACTTTTTCTCATGTAGTTCAGTAAAAAAGTTGAATCAGTACTTCAACCTTCATCAGAATATTTGTCAGGACAAGTACCTGCACTTTTATATGAGTGTTTATTTTGGCCACCTCTGTCAAACAGGGTTAATGTCGTAAAGTGGCACATTTTAATCCAAACAATCTTTTCTTGACCAAATCGAGTGTTTTTTACTGTCTAATCATAACTACTGACTGAAAGCAGAAATAAGAGACTGACCACAGTGGTTTAGCTGTTATGGCTGTGATTTATGTTACAGTGTTCTCTGTAAAACAGGACTACTGTCCCTCAGACCAATACTGTAGCAGCCTGTACAACAGAGAGAGTCACCAAAGGATGCTCGGTGTGCAGCTGGACACCTCTGGGGCTGAATACATCCAAACACTGTAAAATGTCCAACCTTATACAAAGAAAGAAAGAAAGACATTTAAAGCCTGACACAAAAAGCTGTGAGGTGGGTTACTTTTTATAACTCGGATATCTGGTTACTGGAGTTATGGGTGCAGCAGCTTACACTGACAGACTTCCTCACTGTCATGAACCTTTCCGTCCATCTTCGTGCAGTTGGTCTCCTCTGGAAAATAGTTTAATGTAGTTTTCTTACAAATAATACGGCTTACAGTGTCACCTATTAGCTCGTTTACTGTTTGCACACTTTTAATTCGAAGATGAAAACTGCCGGCTCCAACAATAAATAAATAAATAAACAACACGGCAGGTAGCAAAATGCTAGCACTGGGGATTCAAAATGTTCAAAAAGTGTGAGACACATGGTTGATTCCATAATCTGAGGACATCAGGAAACCCCAGTGCACGCGCGTGAGACACGGTGTGGATTTGTGCCCTTTTAACTGCACCCAGCAGTGGTGGTGGTGTAGGCACTTCTAGGTGCTTCTACATCACTTAGCTGTTAAGATCCATTTAATGGCTTCAAATGAGACTTTAGTTTTGTGTCAGCTGAGATTTTGTGGGAGGTTCTGCATCGTTTCACGTACATATTTATACATACAGGCTCTTTGAGAGAAAGGGGTGGGTATGTAATTTCAGAGCCGAACTCTCTCTCTGAGTGAGAGATCCTGTTAACAGGCGCTCAGGCAGATTTGAAACACCTCCAACTCCAATCTGCTGCGTGGAGCTGAGAGCCAATTCATCTCTGCTGAAGAAGCAGAGGCTTGGAAACCACACACGCCCACACACACAAACAAACATAACTCTATAGGACTGTGTTAACGTTGTTATTGAAAAATGTTTTGAGAAACGTTGTCAAGCAGCCTCGTTTTCAGGTTGACAGACGTATATTTAGGAAATCCTGTGATGTGCTTCCACCGTTCCTTTCAAACACGGCTTGTGTTGTTGGTGCTGTGCTGACTGACGGTGTCTGTCTTTTAAAGAAACGGCTGGCAGATCATTGTAATTGGAAAAGGAAGTAAAATAATCTTTTGCCAAGTGATTATTAACAGATTGTTGAGAATATTTCCAACTAGGACAGAACCTCCAATTTTTGTTTTTTATATGAAATCCAAGAGAAAGTGTCCTGCTCGTACCAAACGAAGGCACGTGACGTGAAAAACACAGCCTGTCGTGTAAATGTTGGTCAAGCTTTTACAAAGGAGCTGCAGTTTTAATTATTAACCCACTGAATGCATAAGAAATAAGAACATGTTCTTTTGTGTTTTGACTGCCATATCTAAGCCATTATTAACTTTCAGGTAAGTTAATGTATTTAATGTTTCCCCTTTTTCGACTCGCTGACATGTATAATATGTATTACCCACCTGACGGCTGTGTCTGGATGTTTTATGGCACCAAACTGCAAAAACTCACCTTCACAAGTCCAAAGGATGAGAGAGATGTAACCTAAAGACGGCATTTGTGGCTGGTTGGTTCAACACTTGTGAAATGCCCCAACAGACACCAGATGTATTGTGATAATGTTAAAGACGGATCCTGATGAATTCCCGTGACTCCGACATTTGGGACGGTTTTTATTTGAAGCATCGCAGACATGCTGAGTGACACAGGCACCTCGCAGGGTGACGTCTCGTCTCCTTAAACCCTCCTTGTGGATATGCTGTTACCAGATCGCTACACGTAGCTACGCTGCAGCTTTCCGTCCCCTCAGACTGTACACACAGCAGCTGTACAGCCCTTGAGTACTAACTCTGCATCTGTTAAACCTCTGTGAACCTCCTTTACATTCTGCCATGAGTACAGCGATAACACAATGACAACCTGCAGCCGTGTAGCCTCGTCCGTTAGCATGGACGGAGAGTCTGACATTATGATCAAAGAAATCAAGAAAGCTTCATTTTGAACTCAGCTGGTATTTTACTGTAGCTGATACCTCCAATATAAGGAAATGGAGGCACATTAGTTTAGACTTTCCACATTTTTTAACGTTTTCAGTTCCCATATTCATAACTTTTATTTTTATTTCTTAAAACATGAAGTTAACTAGGAGGTATTTGCTTACTGAAGCAACTAACACTTTCTCCATTTCCCCTGCAATCAGCGATACCAAATTACGTAGGACGTTCTTGGAAAGAGACCTGCAATTATGTGAAAAGCTGCCACAAAATTAGCAGGAAGTTGCAGGACTTGTAAATTAAACCGTTGTAATTCTACAGAGATTCAGCATGTTCAGATTCAGAGTTTCTCATAAAGAACAAAGTATTTGAGTAGCTCGACAACAGCAGCATCTTTTTCAGTGGGATGTCAAAAATATGCTTGGAAATATCCTTAAATCGAGCAAAGCCCTGAGAAGTGAGCTGGCAAATCCATACAGACAACACGTGTGCAGCAATCAGGGTATTCATATATTTACAGCACCATGTGTTTCATGCATGTGTGACTGTTTTCAGTGCGCCTGCTGACTGCTGGGTAAAAATAGAGTCAAGCAAGTACAAAAAAGAAAAGGAGACATAGAGACTAAAACGAGAGAGGCGGAGGAAGATGGATGAGAGGAGGCAGCAGAGAGCAGTACTTACAGGTGTTTTGGAAAGTGTGGACCTGCATGTCGACCAGAGGAAACGATTGTCTGAAGCTGTACGTCACAGAAGTCTTCTTCTTTTGGAAGATCTTTGTCACCTGAGGAGGAGGAATTAAAATAAGGGAAAAGAAGGTAAAGAAGTCCTGCGTGAAAATACACACAAACACCAAAACACCGACAGGTACTGTGTCGAAAACAAGCAGATGTGCATCTGTAAAAAAGTTTAAAAAAGAAACAAGTGAAAAGAGAATATAATTAAAATCTCTCCGTGGGAAGCTCCTGGTGACTGCAGACACAAAACACTGTCTTCCCTCAGAGAGTTCAAACCATAACCAGCGAGTGAAGACTAAACGAATCAGCGAGTGGAGAAAAACGAAGGTCAAAGGTCGAAATCTAAACCAAGCTCTCCCAGCTGATAAACCTGGGGCCTGTCTCAATGTGCGTACTTGTGTTCTCGTGTACTCGTGATACGGCATCAGTCGGAGACCAAGTACTGTTCCAATTCGAAGTACGCATCAAGCCGAGAACGCGAAAAAGTCCCGGATGTGTTCTCCGCCCGTTTTATCGAGCATGCATCGGTGGTGACTTGTGTGGACTTAGTACAGCTAAATATCCCAGAATGCATTTCGTCCAAAACTCAAACG